TATTTCAAGTACATTTTATTGAACAAATTAATTATTTTTTTATTCAGTTATTAAAATGAAACATCTTATTGTTAGAGAAGATTTGAATATTCAAGGTAATTTTTGAAAGAATATTTGAAAATGAAAATATTAGATAGTTGCAGTGTTAGTCACTGAGTATTAAGTCTTAACAACTGAACCACACACCTGCAGATGTTAAACCTAAGGGGTTAAAGGGACAAAAGAGAAAGAAAAGGTGTGAGTTTCATTCATGCTCTTTCGTTCCAGATCAGATATGTCTCACTCAAACAGGTCCTTCTGCTTCCTCTAAACCCAACCCACTGGCTCAGCTGTGTTACAGGGAAGCCCACAGTCAGCACACACTGACGATTAGCTCGCTAGCTTAGCTGGGATTTGCACGCCGGATCACATTTCTGACAGCTGATCTGGGTTCAGAGGGTGACTTTCATATCCAGACGAACGTGAGCACACAGGGGAGCTGACTCTTTATCATCTCTCTTACTCTGCATTGAGGCAACTGTTTTATTAACTCCTAGAAACTGCAGTTTCCACTTCTGATAACAAAAGCATGTTGTAATTCTCACTCATATCTCCTCAAAACAAGTGAAGAAATTCTGTGGAAAGCACAGCTTCTGAACCCTGTAAGTGGAAGAGGAGACATTTTATTAAGGTTTGACATTAATGAAAAGTTATTGCTTTTATTCCATAACTTACTACTTGATTAAATATGTGGTTATGTTATTGCACTAAACCGCACAACAAAAGTAAACTCTCTCAACCTCTAAGGATGAAAGGAATGAGTTAACCTTTGAGTATATTAACAGGAGGAAGCACTTTGCTTTGAGTAGTAATCACTACTGAATGAATGTCTGGAATGGCCATAAATGGTTAACTATGATGCCAGGGATCTACCAGTCAGTCGCACTTTCACTTTCACAGCATCTAATTAATGTTTATGCAGTTGGACAGATCAGAGGTTGTGGCCTTTTCACTGCTGCAGATTAACCCACTGAATGTTTGACTTATTACTCAGGAACTACCATGTTTTTTTTGGTTTTTTTTTCAGTAAATACTAGCGATGCGCTTATTAGACTGTGATTAATCGTTAACAGCAAACCAGACACGACCCATGAAAAACATCAAACACAGCATTGTGTTTTAGATCAACAAGGCTTTAGGCTTTACTGAATAAAAAACACAGCCTAACATAACAGACATGACAGTAACGATGTGGCCCAATCCCATTTCACCGCTCGCCCCTTTCCCTCCGCCCTTAGCCCTCTGTTTTGCGCGTTGACTCCTACGGGTAGGGTGTCCCAATTTTAGTTAGGATAGAGAGGTAGAGCCAAGTGTTAGGGCTACATGACCCTCCAAACGGAGGTTTTTCAGAGGAGTGTTATAAGAAAAAGGAAAAACTGGCAAAATGAATGCGCAAGCAACCAAAGAAACCCACAAATGTGAGAATTTTCTCCATTAAAAATTAAGATATTCATTGTATTATCTTAGTTTAATGTCATTTCAATTTATAATGGTCCTTTTCTTTCATAATCACTAATAGTATGCTAATGACTCGGTAGCTAGCTAGCTAAATTTCCTGTTCCACCTTAAATAGTTCAGCAGTACTGAAGCCTGACGCGCCAGAATGTAACTGCTGCTCTATTTAAGGTGGAACAGGAAAATGTGAACAAAAGCTGGCTAATAACTGGCTTCAGCTTCATACTACTGAGGAATTAGCAGTGGGCGATAATAACTATCGCATCCCCCTTCTTTGAAAACATATGATGCCCTAAATTTAACTAAAGCCAATGCTAACCCCAGCATTGTGTCATGTGGCTAAATATCACAGCTGTGACACTGCTGTAAACTACATTTTAGGATGTTTTAATCTCTGCTTTATCCCTTTATCAATGGCTCTGGCACTACAAGTTAAAACTAAGTAAAGTCAAGAAGTCGAGAGTCGACTCTAGAAAAGCTGTGCTTCACTAAGCAGGGCTACCAGAACAAGTTGCAATCTTTAGCTCTCATGCCTAACATTCAAAATAGTCCTCTGGTTGTATAAAAAAAAATCAACTGTTTAACAGAAATTAAATGAGCTTTTTAGTGGTAAACTTCGGTCAAACGTTTATGTATTTCTCAGTTATTGGTTAACTGGTTAATCGTTAATATTTCCAGGAAATACTATAAACTTAATATGCAAGTTACACAGTTATGAGACATATGGCTGCTGTCAGAACAAAACCTTGTATCTCCATTGTTGTCATTTTTCAGTTTTTGACATAATTTGAAAATGCCTTTAACCCTTTACATTGTGTGTACATTTCATGAAGAATCGACCAAATAAATGGCCTAAAATGACTTGGATAAAAGCCTGGTTCCATTGACTTACATTAAAAGTAAAGTAGTTTTTTTCCCTTTACCTGTGAAGTTGTGATTTAGGAGACAAGAGTTTTTCTTCCAACAATAGTGATATGCTAACATAAGGGCCAAAAGGGGATAAAACAGAAATACAAGTTTCTATTAGAGCCAAATTCAAAATACAGTTTGTATTGGGGATTCTTTATTGTAAGAACTGTACAACTAATCTTAAGCCCAACTACATTACTTCTGCATTAGATTACACTATATTTGTACATAAACATGTACAGGTATATCACACATATAGACCAGGCCTTCCCTGCAGTGTCCTCTCTGCCTCAGAATCCACTGAATAGTATCCCATTTTGCAGGGAATTCCCCACATATAACAGAGTCCACCATGATATGATTACACTAAATGCGTTTATTCAGTGTCACCACTCCCTTGTCTGCAGGCCTATCCCTCATTCAGACCAGAGCTCTGAGTGTCGTGTTATACGGAGGAGGGAGCTGAGGCAGTGCTGAGCAGCACTGATATACATTTCAAATATGTAACTGTACAAAAGTGATATTTATGTTTGCCTTGAAGCGGACATAACCTGCATTCTTCTTGCACTTTATTTTATTCCCCTGAAGCAATTCACTTTGTCAAGTCAATTCATTTCATACAAGATCATTTTCCTACATCTCTTCATCCCTTCAAATTAAAACAGGCTGTTTTTGTTACTGAGCCTTTAAGACTGATATATGTACATAACCTGTGTTTTGATTGGTTGCCTTGTATAGTGCCTCATCCCAAAAAGCAGGCCAGGCTGAAACACTCCTTATAATCTCAACCTGAATGGGTGGAGCCAAACTGCTGTAGGCTAAGTTGGTTTTTGTGAGCAAGTTTCCATATTTGGACTGTACAGATTAGAGTACTAGTGTTTGCATACCACTCAAAATGTAGTATGTTAAAAGGGTGCCTTAAAAATCTGAAACAGTTTTGATTTGACTGTTTTGCTCCTTTTTCTTTTCCTGAAATGACCCCAAAGGGAACCTTATAAAGCACTATAAATGTTAACCACACAGAAAACACATCTCCAGAACTGGTTTAGTGTTTTTGTATTTGGAATGGTTCTTTCAAAACATCGATAAGAACAGAGCAAACGATATATGTAAACTCTGCACTGTTGTATGACTGTCCAGCTCTAAATTAAAGAAGAAATGAAGGGACTGGGGAGCGAAACAGAAAGAAGGACGTGGACAGAGACGGATGGATGGATGGATGGATGTATGGATAGACAGTGGCCCTCATCCTTATCGAAAGCCAAAACGTAGAGACATTAAAGGGCTTATAATATTGAAAACTGATTGTCCTTCACTTTTTTTCCTTTACAAAAATTCATGCACTATGTAAATAATGTTTTAAAATGTAACCTTCACTCCCCAGTTATACAGTCCATATATGGAAAATCAGCAGCAAAGACAGTCCATTTTTATTTCACCACTTTTGTGATATCATGAAAACCAACATTTATGTACACACACACACATATATCACATACATATATATATATACATACATATATATATATATATATATACACACACATATATATATATATACACACATATATATATCATATATACACACATATATATATATACACATATATACATATATATATACATATATACATATATATATATATATATATATATATACACATATACATATATATATATATATATCATATACACATATACATATATACATATATATACTACATATATACATACATATATACATATACATATACATATATACATACATATACATATATATATATACATATATATATATATATAGAGAGAGAGAGAGAGAGAGAGAGAGAGAGTGTCATTTTGGGCCATTCATCATGACATTTACATACAATGTAAGAAGGATATATTCACCTATTCAGCCTACAGCAGTTTAGCTCAACTCATTTACAGTTAAGCAGTGGAAAATGGTCTGGGAAAATGGTCATGTGGACGCAAACCATGAAAAGCCATGGTTTGGACACAAACAATGACTTTTCTGGTATACAAACAAGAAAACAAGACAAATGTAGTATAGGGGGCACTTTAATCTGAGAGAAAGCATAGGCTGCAGCCCTGATAATCACAAAGATAGATCCCTACAGGCCCAGGCTTAGGCCCAATTCACGAATACAGAGGCCTACTGACTAAAACTCAAATAACTTATAAACAAGCTCTGTGGCCAACCAACAGGTTTTACTATGGGGGTACACAAGCAAGCTGAAACCTGTTTATAGTACGACACCAAAATGTCGCGCTTCTGCAATATACAGTAGTGTTATATTGCTGCCTGTCTGGTTATGTAGCTCGGTTTGAGAGATGAAGTCACCCAGGTGTTTGTTGTGGGCTTCCTATTCGAATTCTGCGCTCCACCTTAAACAGTGCAGCAGTTCCATGTCACGGCTAGACCATTTAAGGTGGACCCGAGAACTCGAATAAGAAGAACTCCCGCTTCGTCAGTAACGTTACACACAAGTTCTGTGACTGCTTTTCTGGCCGTGTGGGCGTTGAGATAAAGTCACTCCGGTGTTTTGTACAGGTGTGTTGCGCAGGTAAAGTTACCTGGCTGTTACAACACTTACCCTCAGCGCGGCCAGGTCGATTTCGTCCAAACTCCGTGTGGGTGCGTTTTCAGACATGGTTCAAGCCAAGTTTGTGAAGTCCGTGGCGAAAAAAACACAACGTATATTCCCCCAAACAGATCTCCGTCCTTTAATTCAGCGTCAGAAAACAAAAACACAACAGGAGACCGCTCAGAAAAACTTGAGACGACCCATCTGGCTCGGCTCGGCAGCTTGACGTTACTGAATGACAACAGGGCTCAGACAGATGAGGCGAGATATTTCTGCCTAACGACTTGAACAGGTTTATAATGTCGAACAACAGTTAATAACGTTAGTTCGGGATTTGTTTCGAGGTCTGAAGGCCGACAGCTCCTGGTCTGCGCGTTAGGCGATAAGTAGCTAATGTTAGCCAACGTTGTTAATCCTCCGGCTGCACTGCACTACATTACATTACATTGCATTGCATTACATTACATTACATTAGCTCCAACGGTCACTCCTTGCTGGAGATCCGATCATTTCTCCTATACTGCGCTCCTCTTCACCGCTCATTTTGGCAAGCACTGCGCTGCTGCACTTCACGGAAAAAAAGACAGACGAGAAAAAATGTCAGTTTGTGCCACCGCAGTCGTCTCGTTGTCAAAAAAATCCTCAGTAATGTCCTATTTTTCTGAGCGCCGAAGTTGACGCGCAGGCTAAGCTAGCGTTAGCAAAGCTGACGAACCGAGCTAATAAACAAAACGGCGCTGCATCATCAGCCGAACCTCTCTGCCATAACCGTTTCGTGTCTGTGCTGCCCACGCAAAACACACACACATACACACACCTAAACACACGGTTTCGGCCACAACATTGTCCTGTGGCTCTCCGGAGTCGATTTAAGTCTGGAGGTTCAGTCTGCTGTGGCCACAAATGCAACAAAAATGAAGAAAACGTTCACGTCGCCTCACAGAAACTTTCGTTCGTTCCGTCCAGCCGAGTTGAAAACGTCAAACCGCGTTTCCAACTCGAACCCTTCCTTTTTTCACAAAAACTGGCTGGTCTTGTACAGAACTGATCATTTAAGCTGATTTAAGTATTCCCACAGTAGCCCCCTCTTCGCCCAACTTTAAATCTCTGTAAGGTGGCGAAGGAAGGTAATGCGCTGCTGTGGCGCCTTTCACAGGAACAACTTCTCTCTCTCTCCGTCTTGTTTTGGTACGGTCCTGTTTTTCCAGCGCTATGACGTCTCTCCTCTGCAAGAGCACACAACACTCTTTCTCTCCGTCTTTCTCTTTTTTTTTACCCTTTCCTTTTATTCCTCTCCCTCCTTCTCTCTCCCTCTGCTTGAGCAGGGAAAGTGCTACGGTACCATAACAGGGCCAAACTACCTGCTATGCCATAGTATCTGGCTGTAACAGACACAGGTGGGTGAAGGGATCGTTTTCAACCAGCACTTTTATTACAGACACAAACACGTGCTTTAAGTTCCTCAGCCTTTATTTTCGACACTGATGTGGAGGTAAATTAGAGGCTGTAAATGTGGATGACTCATTAATATAGTAATCGTCACTGTAGTGTTTTACACAAATAGAGGGGAAAAACTCAGAAAACTCAGAAAAAAGGAGTACAATATACAAAAAATAACGAAAAAGTGGTACTTCATATATTTCTATGGGCGTTTCTGCAACTACAGGCACTGTTAGGTCCTGGCAGTGGATTTTTGAATATGATCACATTGTTAGCGTAATGTATAGAAACTGCACATTTCCACATACATACTTGTTGCTACATGTATTGAACCAATGCCATTTATGAAGCACATATGTTGAAACAAAATGCCACTTTAATTCAAGCATTGTTTTCAAATGCATAAAGAGGTTTTTAAAAGTACTCAACTGCACCATTATTAAATCTTTTTCACTGAAACTGCTTTGTAGAAATGTTAAATCAAAACTTAAATACTGTTGCTGAGTCATTGTAATCAATTCAAGCCAAACTCATTTCAGCTAAATAGAAAAAATAACATTGTATAGCTCATTATTTGCATTATAGACTGTGATGCTGTTAATTATGTTTCGGTGAGATCCATGTTTTAAAAAAATTGGAGAGCTGTAGTTACAGAAACACACACACACACACACACACACACACACACACACACACACACACACACACATATATATATATATATAGTCATTTTGGGCCGTTCATCATGACATTTACATACAATGTAAGAAGAGAGAGAGTGTTTAGGAAATGATTCAGATAAATATACAGTTAAAAATCAGATATAACTATAATCAGATCATTTTTATATCTGATTTTAATATATATTTTACATTATACAAGTATTATACAAGTATTTCTATTCAAACTGGAAGAAAAACTATTTCTACTCAAACTGGTAAACAATACATTGTACAAAAACTACAGATAAACTTCATGGCTGTGCATAATAAGTGGTTATTAAAAAAGGGATAAAACAAACTGATTGTGTAATGTAGCTGGAATGCAGCAGGGTTTGATACAGATATGTGAGTGCTGGTTGGCTGCTAGCTAAGGACAGGTGTAGCAGGTGAAAAAAGAAGAAAAAAAAACAGAAAAAGGAGAACAAAACTGCTGCAAAGTGGCTTTCACCCTTAAAGGCCCAAAACAACAGTGCAGCATTATATAACAGTTTGAAGTCCTTAAACACAGGGGTTGCTGTTGTTAACCGAGACACTGGCTCTGTTGCTTTTATTTCCGTCAGTCAGTATGTCTGCATGTGCACAATAATAAATTAGGTTTTGGCAAAACTTGTTCCAGCACTGAATAAATCAGATAACGGGTAAACTCTGGGTCTGAACGAGTCAGTTAATAATCAGATTTCTGATGAAATACACAACCTGCCAGTAGGGAAAGAGAGTCATCAGATCGCTTCCTGCTGTTTGCATTCAAAATGTAGGTTAACACTGAATTAGAGGAGCTGCACATTACAGACTGTACAATGTAACGTGCCATGTTAGCCATATTGTCAGTTAAGTTTGACACTCTGGGAATAAGGAACTGACAATAAAAGACAAATGTACAGTTTTATAAGGGATTTCTCCAAAAGGGACTACAAATGACGTCACTATCACACATTACACAAAGCCAGCACTGAGATTTGGGAGTTTTCTAGTATTGTGATCTTTACAGTACTATGAATCAGCAGCATGTCCTTACATTATGCTGCATTTGTAGCTACTCTGATTGTATGGTGTCAAAATGACTGTTTCACAAAATGTCCAGCTTTAAGTGATCTTTATACAGTCATCTAAAGTTTTCACATGGTGAAATGAATGGCGATTTAAAACATTTTAAATGCAGCCAGCAGATGTCTGCACCTTCTCTCTGTGTAAAAACACAGAAGAAGCACATGATGTAAAATTCAAACTGTGAGTTTTCAAACAGTTTTCTTTTTAAAATTGAGTCATATCCTTCATGTTAAAATGGTGGTTGTGATAATGAATTAAGTCTGCATTAACTGCTTCAGAGGCAGCTGTTCTCTGTCCGGTTATGTTTGTCTAGCCATATAAACATTAGCGGTATATGTGCACTAAAATAGGAACGCATGATCAGAATCAGCCAGGGTTGGAATCGATTTTTGCCTCAAACAATATTTCAGTAATCGAGCAATTAATTATCTAGATTTGGGCCGATCTGTGCTGCAACTCGGCGACGTAAATAACATAAGGTAGGTAAGCGCACTGGTGCTGTATTTGAATGCCGATGCTATAGCAATGCCAAAATGTCACATCACCATTATTTTACTTTTTTTTACATTTCATGTTATTGAAGTAGGCAACTAATATTTTCTTTACAAATTTAAAATGCCAGTTTGGCTCACTAGAGAGCCAAGAATATTAAAAATATATCATTTATGTTGCAACATTGGATAAAAAAGTGATGACGTAGCCCCCGGCATCAAAAAAGGTTAATAAAATCACCCAAAACAATCATCCACTGGCCAGTTTGACTCTAACCATACAGACAGATATACATATTCATAATCGTGCACTTCTAGCACTGAACAATCCGATTACATTCACCAGACTAGAAATCCAATAAAGGCTTTAATCCAATATAAAAATTGCTGCATGCTGTCTGCACGACCACCTCAATAATCGTGTAGATGCCAAAATCAGATAATGATGGTATTATTAGTGTGCATATAAACGCACTCCATGTTTTCCTATCAGCACCCCTGCAACCCCCCTCGCTAAAAAAAGAAAGTGGAACCTTCTGGGCCACTGACAACAGTATTACATAACCATAAATACTTGGTTGCCATGGAAACGTCTGGGGGGGGGCAATGGTTAATGCACACCTCAAACCCCCTCGGAATAAACATCCTAAAAGCCTCACTTCCTCGGCCCCCAGCCCTTGTTTTTTTTTCATGTCATGTTTCTCAAAATGCATGCCCCACCCAAAACTTTGCCACTCTCTTCCTCCAGCTCATCTCTCTCCTCGTCGATAGCCTTTTATTACACTCTTCCAATTTCTTTTTTCCCCCTCCTGAGCCGCTGTTTATCTAGACTTCCTCTCCCCAGTTTCCTCTCTCTCTCTCTCTCTCTCTCTCTTTCACTCTCTTCCTCACTCACTCTCACGGCAGCCGCGACCCCGTCAGCTCTTTATACCCGTCACCATAACAACCACAAATGTTCTGACAGATTTGCTGGCACTGCACAGAGAGGTGCGGCACTAGAGAGAGAGAGAGAGAGAGAGGGAGAGAGGGAGAGAGGGAGAGAAGTAAAAGAGATATAGGGAAGAAGGCAGAGAAAGCGATGCTATCCACCTACGCGCCTTTGCAATAATAAACGTACGTTCTGTTCTGTTCATTTCATCCGAGACACTCCACTGTGCTCACCTCACTCCTCTCAAACACACACACACACACACACAACACACACACACCACTTCACACCATCCACCATTTTACAAAACAGCAAACTCAGACTAGTGCAGATTAGCATGCTAGCTTCCACTGAGCCATTTTGAATGATCCTTATTGCTGCAAATCCATCCTGTGAAAGCACCACTGTGGTGGTGATGCTGATTATCTGCAGGATAACTCACACTTTCCTCTGTGAGATTGCCACACGGATTCTGTCTAGGGGGTAAAACTGCACCCCATCTATCTGAAGTTTCATAAATTGTATATATCAATTTTGGAATGTTAGCATCGATTATACGAATATTCAGTAACGTGTGCACTCATTTTTTGGCTCGAAATAACATTCTCATGCTTTTTCAAATGTAAGAATCCAGTCACATTTGTGCACACTGTGTATATTTGCAAAAGATTCTGAATCATACCATGAAATCAAATCAAATCATGGTCAAATCTGAAAGAATCAAAATTCAGCTTGTGTCAAATAAGTGTGCAATATGATCTTGTGATGCACTGAATTGTTTCCTAAAGAGGCGTAACGGATTCGAATTGTGAAAACTGAAGATGCCTATAATCATTTCCTAAAGAGACATAACTGAATCAAATCACGGTGAATCCACAGTGAGCCATTCCCTAAAGAATAAGAAACAAATCTAATCGAATCACAGCAAAATTTGAGATTTGATGATATCCCAAACCGTTTCCTAAAGAATCAAAACTGACTTGTAGTGAATCATGTTGAAATATGATCTTGTGATGCGCTAAATGATTCACTGAATCTTTCTCTACAGAGTCAGAATCCAATCCAATTGGTGGTGAAGGCTGAAGATGCACTGAATCATTTAATCATTTCCTAAAAAATTTCAATCAAACTGAATTAAGGTGACATTTCATGACTGCAGTGAATCATTTCCTAAAGAATCATAATCAAATCAAATTGTGAGGACAGAGATTTACACCCCTACCCCCGTCGCTCCCACAGAGAAAGAAAATGAGACAATAGAAGCTATAGCACACTTCAATGTGGTTAGACAAATCTCTCTCCAACCACCAACCCATATTCTCTATCACATTAGTGCAGGTGGTTTGGTCCGTTATCATGCTAAACCCACGACTTCCAGTTCAGTCAGTATAGGGTAGATAATGAGTGTTTACAGGTTCAGATTATTTTCTTTTGGTCCGTGTCTGCTTATCACACCAACTCCACTGTCCAGCCCATACTACGTCCACACCTCCAGAGGGACCATTCTCTCTTTTGTGCCGGGTGGTGGGAGCAGGTTTTCCTCACACAGGAAGTGCAGGGGGAAGTGAACGAGGATGCCCCTGATAGCCTGAAGCTCGCGGCTGGCTTGCTCTGGGTCTGTCTGGGCAAGGTTCCGTGTGCTCACGTGTTCCTGCAGCTCGCGCATGTTACGGATCGAGTCCAACGGAAGACACCGGAAAACCTGCAGAAAGGAGAACAGGATGGTCCAAATGTGGTTAAAGTGATAGTTCAGCGGAAAATCGATTGCACAAGAAAAGTTCCTCTTTTCGTTAATGTAGTCACTTGGTGTTCTTCAGAGCTAGATTAGCCACACAGCTCTAAAAAACTAAAAAAAGCAAACTTCAGACACCAAACAAGTCTGATTGACTACATTTGCAGTAAAGGGGAAAACTGTGTGAATTACATTTTTTTTAAAACCATTCTGCTTTTAAAAGCACACTCTGCATGAGTCTCTGCATGAGTCCTTTGCTATTTGACAGCAATCAAAACATTTCTTGGATCGTCGTGGCTAAAACTACTAAAAAGCCACTTTAAAAGCAGCCGTCAAACACTACGTGGAAAATTTTTAAATAATTTTTGTAATACATATCCTATACCAGTGTTTTTCAATGCTGGTCCTGAAGAGCTACTGTCCTGCACATTTTACTGCTTTCCCTGCCTTAACACAGCCACTATAACTCAATAATGGGCTGTTAATGAGCTCATTAGATGGACCAGGTGTGAAGGGAGCAGGGAAAACACAAGAAAGAGCAGGGCGGTGGGCCTCCAGGACTAGGATTGAGAAACAGTGCTCTATACCTTTAGAAGTGGTTCTTCAAGGGTTCTTTAGTAAAGCCAGTGGTCACACATCCAACATAAATGACAATGACTAGTTAAATGTTTTTTCTCTGCGTTTCTTCTACTGTCACACATCGTAAATACAGTCTTTTTATGAATGTAGTTGATCAGCCAAGATATATTTGGTGTCAGAAGTTTGCTTAAGTTTTGCACTGGAGCTACGAGCCTAATGTACCTAACGAGTAAATGGAGGCTAACATTACAAACTGCATGACTAAATCATTACACATTTCCCTCAAACAGTGTGGAGTCCAGTGATCAACAATAGACTTGCTTATGTGGTTTCTAAGACTGTATGACATACTGTTCTCTAAACAAGGGACAAAACAAACCTCTACATAGTTTCTGCGACTGTTTTGTATTTTGCGATATACTTTGATCTTTCTAGCTGCAAATCTGTCACATAAGAGCACCAGTGCGGTGAATCTGCAGAATGACACTTTTCCTCTTTGTGGTTGTCCCATGGCGTCTGCCGCTCCCACAGAGTAATGACTCAATGCATGTTATAGCCCAGAAACCACATAAGGAAATCTTGAGCTTTCAAATGCACTATATAAGTAATGATTATTTGACATTACCTAACAACCTGGCACAGTTTGTGATGATGTAGGCATGCAGTTTACACAATGCTAACTGGTGTTTTGGCTATAGTGGAGGCCTATTGTAGCTACTGCATGTTAGCTATATTAGCTTTGTAGCTCCATTGCAAAACTAAATAAGCAAACTTCAAACACGTCTTGGCTGATAAACATTTGGGGTAAGGGGGGGGGGCACTGTCAATTCGATTTTTGGACAAGACATTCCTTTAAAGGTGAACTATACACAAATCTATGAATGAGTCCTTTGCTATTAACAGCAATCATTTCTTGGATTGTTACACAAGCTAGAACTTCGAAGCCAGAACCCAGCCAATGACCCTCAATTACAATTTGGTACAAATTAGTAATCATTTTTATCCTGTACTCCCAAAACACTTCAAAGTTACTTTAGTAAAGGAAATGGTTATATATAGAGATCCATTTGAATGGTAAATAGTTGTCTCAATGGTTAAAATCTTTGTTTTTCTGATGTCTGTTGTATATCGTACTTTTAAGGACCTTTTAATAAGGGGCTCTGCTCTGCTATTGTTACAAATCCTAGAACTTTTTTGGTACTATTTAGAACCCTTTTACTAAAAGTGTACATGTTGCCCCTCAACCTTTTCTGAAGTGATGAAGGCATATGAAAGGCTGTGTTGCAACGAATAAAAGAATGAAAGCAGTAAAGCGTGGTCCACTGGCTTGCTACACAGCCTGCTGAGTTTCCTCAAATGGTTCAATCAAACTGGCCGCCTTCACAGACCGGAATAGCCATTTCCTAATTCAGCCACCCAACTCCCACTCATAAGCAATTACCAAGGTAATTACTGTCTATAAACTATTTCAGTGAACTTCACAAAAACAGATATTACAGTGTATTTGTCCGCAAATACAGAGTCTTATAAGGCAGAGTAGTGGAGAGAATGGTCTGCTCACACTAGCAAAACATACCTACTAAGAACAACTTATTTCTGTGATGTAAACAGACATGAATAAAGGAATTCAAAACACGTGTATAACCGATGATATCTTAGACATCACTCACTCAACCAATCACGGTTGTCTCTGGTGTTGGCATGGCGACAAACAAGATGACCGATCAGCTGTATCCCAGCAAGACATACTTTTGTACATTATTATTAGTTTGCCTTCTGTTTCGTCATGTGCGATGCTAGCAACTCCAAAAATGACTTAAACTGGGTCACCACATCTGAGCTATATACGAAACCACCGAAAGCTCCTGAATTAGGTGGTGAAACTCTTGGTTCTCCTTTTTCAAAATGGAAAATAGCATGCTAATGTCTCTATGTGCCCGTTTTGTGGGGAGAAAAGGAAGTTATTTTTGTCACATGAAGACATTCTGCCCACATCTGGTGTGTATATTTTTGAAGTTGTGTCAGCATGTATCATATTTTCGTGTATATTTTGTAACTGTGGCTAAACACAGTTCTCTTACCGTTTCATAGATGGAAGCATTTGATTGGGCGATTTTATTCCAGACATCATTGAAGAATTGATCGCTGACTGGATCATCAATATCAATAGGTGGGTCAGATTCCGCCCCCAACAGGACCCTGAGAAAGAGAAAAATAATGAATAGTTTGGCGAAAAATCTAATTTACACTTAAACCAACCACAGTCGATCAGCCAAAACATGTTTGGTGTCTGACATTTTGATTCTTTAGTTCAGGGGTGTCAAACTCAACCACTAAAAGGGCCATATTAAAAAATCTCAGCAAATCCGTGGGCCAGCTGTGTTTTTATTTCATTTTTACTTAATTTTGCCTTGACCCAAATGATCATCAGGCATTGAACACTTATTCAAAAATAATTCTAAATAAAAATGAATTGTTTTAGGTTTCTTTTTTTTTTTTAAACCGCCTATTTTCCTGAACTAGACACCAGGCATCTTTTCTTTTTGTGTAACCGCTGGCCCACAGATTGTTGTTGGGGGAAGGGGGTCAGAACACACACTATGTTGCAGTGAATGCTGGGGACTGTAGTGCATCTCAGGGTGAAACGGGATAATAAGAATAGAAAATTAAAATAATTTCGCGGCCCGAATAGGACTATGTAGCTAACAAGTACAGAAAGTGTATAAACTTCTTGCCTAAATCATCTTACACTCACGTCAAACCAAATAAAGTTGTTAAGTAACCTCAAATAGACTTGCTTATGTGGTTTCTGACACTTTCTGTCGTACCGCTGCCTATAAATATGGACAAAACTGTGTCATCACTTAAAAAAAACGTCAAATAAATTTCACATGTGAAAAAAAACATAGGTGGTTTTTGTACTCTTCACATGTTAAAAAATATATGGTCACAAAATCACACAAAAATGTGTGTTTACTTGTAAACACTTGTGGTTTTTGCACACAAATAAATCACTGGGCCTCATTCACCAATCATTCTTAAGAAGAAATTTCTTCTTAAAACCCCTGACATTCACCACACACCTAAGAACACAAAGGTGCAAACAAATCTGCAGTTTAAGAACACGTCATGAATCTGACGTAGACATTTTCTTAGGACCTTTCTCAAGAACAAACTTAAGAACAAACTCCAAGATACTGGTGAATGAGGCCCATTCTGTCTACCTTTCAAATCCTTTTCTGAGCTCCAGTTGTGGAAACTCCTGTTTTTTCACCTATTTTCCTCAGATTTTCCCTTTCCTTGTGGATTATCTATCAAATTTCCTCAAAAATATATCATAAAAAATGAATAACTTATACTTAATAGCCTTTTTGACTGGAAATTAAATAAAGAGCTGGGGGTCTCAGACATTTGCACAGAACTGTATGCACATACACAAACACAAGGTGACCTCCCAAACCCAGCTGATTTCTCCTCATGCAGAGGAAGGTGCTGTAGACATGCACTCCACTGCCAGCCTCTTACCGTTTCCCATAGCAACCCAGAGATGTGCTGCTCGCTGGCAGGAAGGAACATAGCGTGCCAAACACACACTACTGCACACACAGGAGGGGAAGTTAGAAGGAGGAAAAATGAGGAATGAGGTACAGAACCGGCACACACAAACAGCAGGCCTTTACGGAGACACCTGATTCCTGAGCAGGTCATATCGATATGGTTCTCTACTGTTTTGAGTTTGTTTTATTATACGTTTCTATTATTGTTAAGCACTATATGTAAAGCTGCTTCCTTAGGCATGTTACACTGCTGCACACTGATTCATACCAGAAAAATGCTGCAGTGCACTCTAGTTAGCCAGGAAGCTAACACAACAGTTAACAAGGTGGCTAACTCAGTAACCATAAACAATAACAACATAAAAGAAAACAAAATTGTATTAGTTTATTATATACTTACTACACCATAGTGCTACACACTGATCTGTAGCAAAAAAGTTTACTGGTGTTGTTGGTGACAGTGGGCCAAATTATGCAGCTGCAGCTAACATCGCAGTAAAACCACAAAAGTTAAGATAATAATACAGTCAACTGATTTAGTTTCTACTGAAATGAATGTAATTTTGCACAAGACAAGTTTACTGGCAAATGCAACTGGGTCATTCTGAGCACTGCAGTGACACTGCTAGTGACATCGCAGTGTGCATTACACTGGTACACAGCAGTGCTGTGGGAGTTTCTAAACAGTTAGTGTCATTGCTGCACTGAGAACAGTCCGCCAACCAAAAATGTCCAGCCAAGCACCCTGTCTTGCACCCTGTGGCCAAAAACTGACCTCTGAAGAAGGACTAGAAAATGACTAACACAAACAGATGTACATCTACAAGACAGACCATTAAAGTAGGCATCTCTTATACACTGAACATTAAGTGGACACTGTGTTTAAAAACTCCAGCAGGACTAGTGGATCACAACTGATCCACTCACACCAATACAAACACAGACTCACACGTCACCACCACATCAGTATCACTGCAGTGCAGAGAATGATCCACCAGCCAACTAATACCTCCTCTGTGGTGGTCCAGTGAGGGTCCTGACTATTGAAGAACAGGACAAAGGAAGGCTGACAAATTATGCAGAGACTCTAATCACAAAATGCATCTATGTGGTCAATGGAGCTGATAAAATGGACAAAAAAATATATATAATAAAGTGGCCAGTTAGTTTAAAAGCTCCCATGACAAATAATTAGTCACATGCTTCAGTTCTTCTCTAATACCTGGTTAAGCTGAGTTGTCTTAATGACAGTGTCAATCCTGTCAGGGAAGTATTACACCAGTGTCTTGAGATACTGTCCATTTTAGCCCTTCCACTGAGTGTGCTTCATGTCCGAGCAGGACACAACATTGACACTCCCACATTCCAGTTAACAACTGTAGGGTGTCTGTATTTGACTGTATTTGTCACTTTTTAACATCAAGTGATATGCTGAAACAGGCACATACAAACTCTGACCATGTGCACCCAGCTTGTGGTAGAGTGAACTAGAGTGGACAGGGACTGGTTACTTACCCAACAGGACCGATGCTTTTAAGACAATGGGACACTTAACCAAGTATTACAGAAGAAATAAAGGCATGTGAATAATTTTTGGACCCGTAAGCTTATACTCCCCTGTACAGTCATCATTTTAGAGATACGAGATTTAATTCTGACAGTGATAATATAAAATCATATATCCGCCTTTGTAAAACAAAGGAAACGGAGCTTGTGTTGTATTAGTGCAGCGTACCGAACTAAAATCATAAGTGTAAGAATGTGGATAATAAGCAGGTACAGTGTTGTTCTCTTGCTCTCTCACTGTGATAATCCTACACCCACTCACTGCCCACTCACTGGGTCAGCCTGCACAATCTCCTGTGCATTTAGTGCATTGTTAGCTTTGTGCTGGCTTAAAGCTGCAGTTCTACAGCCTCTTTTAAGCTAAACACATACTAACTCACTCACCCAGGAGCTGTTTGGATCTTATCCCTCAAATCCAGGAGATTCACAACATCCCTCCGTGTGGATCTGCATGTGTTTATGTTTATGTATGTATCCCTATAAGCTTTCTCTACTCCATGTGTCAAGCCAATACAAGAGAATAATGCTGCCTTACAGATGGTCTCAAAAAAGGAAGGCAGACACAGACACACATACACAAACATCACAGCCAGGTGTGCCATAATTAACTGAACATATCACTAACATGAAAACTAGCAGTGAAAAAAAAAAGTCTTCAAAGACTGTCCACTATAAAACTAACTAAAACAAAGCAGAATTATTGAGAAAAACCCTGCAGTTTTATGTTTTCAGCGAATGAGAGTTTATTCTACTATTTTCAAATACCTATTATCACTGCATTCATCATAATGCTAAAAACTAAAACTAAAACAAACTAAATAAAAAAAGGAAGTGGTACTTTTCAGAAAATGAAAACAAAACTAAAACTATTAATAAATGCTAAAAACTAAAATTAAAACTAAACTGAAATCAAAAACTAAAATAAAAAACTTGCGAAATGTTCAAAACTACAGTAACTGTGCCACAAAGACACACACACACACACACACACTTTCTTACACACAAGCTCCCTCACACACACAGGCACTTTCATGCACTATTTTTTTAATACCTTGTCAGGGTGTGGCCTCTTTACATTTTGTGGCCTCTTTACATTTTGCTCCATATGTTTTGAATAAGTATTTATATGTAATAAGTATTTTATATTGTGTAAGCATATATATGTATTATGTAAGTACCTATATGTAAAGAATTTTAAACTTAACCCTAAGCTTAACCTCACCAACCAAAAACGAATGTTTTTTGCTCTTTCAGGTTTAATATATGAAACACAGAGCTTTCGTAAAGAGGTCAAGATGATTCAGTTGGCCCTGTAAATTAGGCTTGTCCTATCAGAAAAGCACACCCACCTGAAGCATTCTTTGCGCAGGGCAAGTGCGAGTGGTCCTGCTTCGTACTCTTCTCCGTTCATGCGTGACGGGACCCTCTCTTCGTCCTCCACCAGCACGGCCAGCTCGCTGTCCCGAGAGCCCAGCATGCTGCGGTCATTAATGTTAGCCGAACCTGAAAAGAAATTATGGCAGGAGAGACAGAGACCAATCAGGAATCAAGAAGAATAACCTTTGTTCTGGAACGTCCAGTGAAGGGGCTGCAGCTCAAATTACGTACCTCTGCAGTTTACTCTCTACTTTTAGTGTAATTAGTGTGATCATACTTGGAAATACATCTGGACATGCTTTACTAGGAGCCATTTCTGATTTTGTTTATTAGGACTTTACATTTTATTTCTTCCCAGTATGTTCAATAAATGAATAGTGATTGTACAGTAACAGTACGGTGATGAGTACTTATTTTCAAAAGCAATTAAACATGTAATTTGATCTGGGATTTTATGGGCATCTTCCTAATATTCTAATAACCACGTTATTGAAAGCCCTCAGTCCAACACTTTCAGTCTGTTACGTCACTGAAGCAGAGCTAAACTGGAAAATTATTCACAGGGCACTCTTTGTACATGTGTGTTGACCACAAGAGCAAGATTAACCTAATTAGGAAGAAAAGACAGATTTAGGTGTCCTGGGGCCTTAAGGTAAAAGACAAATAACACAGGCAGAAAGACTGAAGCAGGTTAAACTCCGTTAACATAAGCATGAAATATGAATCTCACCCGAGCACAACACAAACCCAAACTCTGACTGTGATACTCAGGGGCTGCCTGGATTTTAAGGTGTAGTGCACAGTGCTCAAAGTGAAACACAGATACAGACTTTCAGATGAACATTCTGAGCTGTATTTCTACTTTCCACCAGAAGATGGCGTTAAAGAGAAGCTTTTCAGTAAGTCTGCAGGTGGCAGGGCTGCACCTTATTTCATTTTCCAGAGAGAAAAGGGCATTAATAACAGGTATAATCAAAAATACATGTTTTTGTAGTATATACGGTTGAGTCTGTTTCATCAGTATCTGAATTACTTTCTCTGAATTGATTCACTGGTCAGAACATGATTAAAAAGCTTGATCTGATGTGTGTTCTCACCGATGATGTAGCAGCGGTCATCAGCGATCAGGGCTTTGCTGTGGACGTAAATGAGTTCAGTAATGGGCGTCTGGCCGAGCTCCGAGTGTGTGCGCACGCCACACAGGGAGATATACTGTGTCCATTCATCCTGCACTGGAAGGGGAGAGAGAGGGCACAGTCGCTATGACGATCACTGAAAGAGCCATGCTGATTGGCTGCCTGGCTGACTGACAAATATGACACTTACTCTGTTCCTTCAGTCTTGACAGAACGGATAACTCGCCACGATTCATCGTCCTGAAGAAGAAAAACAGTTTCATTTCTCATCACCACAATGCATTCCTGTAGAAATGAATACATTTTGTAAATGGTTTATTTTAAATGAAGAATGCTTTATTTATTCTTTATGGCAAAAAAGGTCTGAATATTATATACCATGTAAAAAACGAAAGTGTAGCCTGTCAGGCTTAGTCTCCCTTTTAATTAAGTTATAGATACAGTCAGATGCAAAAGTTTGGGTGCCCTGGTCAAGTAACGTTTTGTTCATTTCCTAAGTGAAAAAGTTAAACATGACATTTTCTGCACTTTTTGGTGCAACAATTCTATTTATTTGCTGAATTTCACATATTGGTAAAAAAAAAAGCATATTTTATGTTTTTTTTCAATATGTTAACCTCAGCAAATAGATAGAAATAGTGCACTAAAATGTGCAGAAAATGGCATGTTTGTGAGTGTTATAAATGTGTTTATAAATGTGTGGTAAATGTGTTTATTTTCACTTTGAAAATCAACAAAAAATGATATTTGACCAGAGGTGTTAAACCTTTTGCATACAGCTGTGCACTATAGGCCAGGATACCAGCAATATATGTAACACTATTTTCAATTTAAAAAAGAAAAAACATGTAAAGTGTGATGAAAGGTTCTCAAAACATCATGTATAAAAAAAATGAAGACAAGAAACTGTAAAATCAGCCTCTGTGAATCCTGTGAAATGCAATACACTATAACTTGCACTCTAAAGTGCACAGTTTTTCTCACATCTATATTAAAAGGACCATGAGGTTAGATGTACCTGTAGGTAAAGTGCAGTATCGCCTGTATGGCTCTGCCTCCTCCTTCAGCAATGTCTCCTTCAAAGCCAGGTAAGAGAGGGACCACAACAAACACGCGGTACTTCTTCTTCTCACTACACACAGGAACACAGAGTGCTTAGTTTGCTTCCCCAGTGCACAGAAAAAAAAAGGATGAGAGAAGAAAAACAGAGTGAAACCAGTATGTCCTCACACACAAACACACACACACACACACACACACACACACACACAAACACACAACACACACCTGTGGGCACGCAGGATCCTCTTAACGATGGCATCTCCGATGGTGTTGTGAACATTCTTCTCATCGGCGCAACTGATGAAGAACTGATTCTGAGGAAAATAGAAATATATAACACACTGTTAGAGACCTGTAAGGGTTTAAAAAGGGTAATCAGAGAATCTCTCCTCCAGGAAGTCCAGTATTTACCATCAAATACCTCGTTTACCTAATCGGTTCTTCACTAAATTAACTATGGTGGATTTAATCAATCCATACAGTGCCTGGACTGCAGTGAGAAGTTAGGAACCAAATCTGTGTTCTTCTAAAAATATTCTTGTAACCAATATATTCAAAAATATTTTGAAAATAAGACGTCATGTGTTACTGTATTTATGTTTATTTATATTTATTCTAATATTAAAAAACATCACAGAGAGACACTCTTTCTATGCAGAAAGTTGTGCACAGTACTGTATATTTTTGGGCATACCTTCATATGTAAAGGTTTGGTCGCTCAAATATGAAAATACGGCCCCTGGTCAAACTACGTTTATATATATATATATATATATATATATATATATATATATATATATAATTTATTATATTATATATTTTATATTATATATTATAAGTTGAAATAGGTCAAGCACATTCTCTACAGGGAACACACTTGTGCACATTTTAATGAATAATTGCAGTTTATTTGCTAAATTTAACATACTGGGGAAAATGAAAAGCTAACAGTGAAAAGGTTATGCCACATTATTATTTATTTTTATTTATGTGTTATCTTTTTCCAAAACTCAGCAAATACATAGAAATTGTGCACTAAAAGTAGCAGAAAAATGTCATATTTAAGCATGTGCTCTGTAAAGGATGTGTTAACTTATTTTCAAATTTCAAAAAAATCAAGAAAATATACCATTTGACTTTTGCATATGACAGTCACGACATAAAACTAAAAAAATATAAAACCACTATAAAGATAACAATACCATGTCCCAACTAACTGTGTGTAGATAGCAACAGCTGTTTCTGAAGGACATTCCTTTAAAGGGGAATTTCACTAATTTTTCAAAATGTTTGCATAATTCAATCTGTAAGATGTAACCAAAGCCATTCAGAGTGGTTTGATATGAAAAGCTCAATTCTAGACAAACTTAGAGTCAGAATTGTTCACAGTAGCGGTGACAGGAACCAGACATCTACTTCTAAAAGCTCCCTCACAGAAAGTTATTACACAAAATGGTCAAAAATTTGCTGCTTGGTACCTGAAACTCTGTTTCATGATAGTTTTGAGATAAAGTTTTTGCCTGCAATGTACTTTTTAATCTATTTATGCAGGGGTGCATGAAGAGAGGGTGTTATATGGCAAAATAGCTCCCAAACAAAATGTATTTGTTCAGATGCCACTAGGTACCACTATTCACTATTCAGGTACCAATATCTTATCATTTATCATCAACAGACCATATAAAAACCTCAGAAGACGTGTCAGTTCACTGGTGGTTTTGGATAGTAAATAAAATGGCTATATTCATGCTGTAGACGTTGTGACCCCTGGTTCCTATCAGCACCACTGTAAAGAAATCTGAGTCTGTAAGTTTCTCTACAATAAAGCATTTTACTTCAAACCACTCTGAATGACTTTGTTTACATCTCAGTGATTGAATTATTTAGAAATTTTGAAAAAAATGTTCGAATTCCCCTTTAATTTTGGAAAGTAGAATGATGTTTTCCATTTTAAAAAAATCAAAGAAAACCTACCAGTATCTTTCTGTTTGTATACAGCAAACAAGTTTTGCGCAACACTCAATACTCACTGCTCAGTGTTCTACTGAGTCAATCAGCTCCTTGGTTGAGTGAAGCGGATCATGCTCGGTGATGTCATGAATGAACATATGGCACTGTTAGAAACCCCTATAACTGGGGCTCAAAGTGCTCAAAAATATAACATCAGTGTAATATTTACAGTGTTACAGTGTTGCCCACAAGCTTTACATTCATTTTGGACTCGATCAGGTGGGCCCTCTGGCATCTGACAAACCCAGAAGGCATTATTGAGCTGTGACAAACATTTTTCAGGCAGAATTTGACGTTAGTGGAGGTCTGTGACACAAAATCACTCATTGCAGCAAATTCCTCTGAAATGAAAGTAAATTCACAGGCAAAAACCAGCATAACTGGGCCTTTGGCAACATCAGTATTTCTGACAGAACTATTCGCTTAGGACCCTGGAGCATGGTCAGAATGGGCGGGCGGCACATGATCATTATGTTGGCAGCTGAATGCAGTCACATGATGACCCAGAAACAGAGAGCAGCATACAACACTCTAACAGTAGCAAACTGTTTGCGTATGGCTGAGTGAGGACACACACAGGAAGGCCTGTCAGTGTGTATCTCCCCAAGTGTTATTATCATGCTAATCACGCTAATCAGCTGAAAATGCTTTTGATTTCTTTTGTGTATTTGACTGTTGTGGGTGTGTGTTGTACCTCTATGTAGATGTAATGCTGGCTGTTCTCAATGGTGTGTATGTAGGCTTTGAGGATGGAGCACTCGCACGTTCCCGCTGACCAGCGATCCACTGAGCGCAGAACCTTTTAAAAGAGAGAGAAAGAGAAAAGAAAGACATGAGAGAAAAGCAGAAAGAGTGGGAGGACAGGAGGTAGCATAATGTGCCATTGTCTGTATGCAACATGAGACACCGCACTCTCTGGGGAGGGGAGGTGTACTGCATGTTAGAATCAGAAACACTTTAATTCTCTATACACACACACACACACACACACACACACACACACACACACACACACACACAGACAGACACACACAGACACAGACACACACAGACACACACAGACACACAGACACACACAGACACACACACACACACACGAGAAAATTGTGTAAAGCTATTAATAGTGACAATGTTTATTTCTTTGAAAGAAATTGCTAACATTACAATAATTATAAATAAACAAATTTACATCCAACATCTAGTTTATCTAATCAATCCATCATTAAATGTAATCAGGCCTTCGTCACTCAACAAATACTTGCACTGCCTCCAGGAGTCAGATAGAAAACCTGCGTGCTTCTAAACTGCATTGTATAAACTGTCCTTCACAATTATTGGCACCCCTGGTAAACATTAGCAGAACAGGCTGTAAAATTATTCTTTATTGCTCATACTTTTGATCTTTCCATCAAAATATTAACAAAAATATAACCGTAATATGGAGTATAATGATAGAAAGAAAAAGAAAAAAAACAAATTCTTATCATGAAATATTAAACGTTCAAGTCAGGATGTTTTTACAGCCTATTTTGCTCATGTTTACCGGGGTGCCAATATTTGTGGAGCACAGTGTATGTGTATATCTTTATTCCAAGATGGTGTGTATTCATTTGTAAATGTTACATATTATTTTGATGTCTAATGCACTCAAAAAGCAGCTATATTCACTATATATCTACGCTATATGGACAAAAATATTGGGACACCTACAGGAGCTTGTATGACATCCCATTCTAAATCCATAGGCATCAATATGGAGTTCGTCCCCCCTTTGCAGCTATAAAATTCTACAAGATTTTGAAGTGTGTCTGTGGGATTTTTGCCCATTCATCCAGAAGAGCACTTGTGAGGTCGGACACCAATGTTGGACGAGAGGGTCTGACTCACAATGTCCGTTCTAGTTCATCCTAAAGGTGTTCTATGGGGTTGAGGTCAGTGCTCTGTGTGGGCCAGTCAAGCTCTTCCACATCAAACTCACCCAGTCATGCCTTTATGGACCTTGCTTTATGAACTGGGGCTCAGTCATGCTGGAATAGAAAAGGACCTCCTTCTCCAAACTGTTCCCACAAAATTAGAAGTATAGAATTGTCCAAAATCTCTTGGTCTGCTGAAGCATTACGATTTCCCTTCACTGGGACTAAGGGGCCTAGACCAACCCCTGAAAAACAACCCCATAACATTATCCCTTCTCCACCAAACTTTATAGTTGGCACAATGCAGTCAGGCTGGTCATGGTCTCCTGGCATTCGTCAAACCCAGACTCATCCAGGCTTGTGTCAGAGGTGGCATCCTATGACAGTGCCGTGTTTACAGTCCCTGAGCTCATCAGTGCGACCCATTCTACTGCCAGTGTTTGTCTATCGAGACTGCAAGACTATGTGCTTAATTTTATCCACCTGTTAGCAATGGGTAACACCTGAACTCAGTAATTAGGAGGGGTGTCCCAATACTTTTGTTCATATAACAATATATATATTGTTCAGTATATATATGTATGTGTAAAGCCAGCAACATATTTCATGAAAGTTCATGCAAACTGTATCTCATTACGAAGATTATCTTCCACCTTTATGTATCTTTAGTATCAATATGTATTTTATTATTCAGTAGTTTTTTTGCCTTTTTGTTTTTCTTTCATTTTTGCTTGTTCTATTTTGTAAGCTACACATTTTCCTGCACATACACAAATGCATATTTGTTATTATAAAACAAGTTATAATTTTGTAAATAGTTCACACACTATAGATGTAAATACCCTTAAATAATTTTGCACTATAACCTAGTTTGATTTCAAATCCAAGGTGCTGGAGCACAAAGCCAAAGCAAAAAAAAGCTGTGTCTATGTCTAGTTACTTACGCAATATGTGAAATATTTGTGTATTTGTGTACGTCAGCATGTGTGCTAAGCGTACCTGTACAGATGCTTTTGCTGCTCCAGGCACAGTAAAGGGAAGGTCACTGGCAGTGAAGTGGCTCTTGGGCAGCAGACATGGGTAAAACTTATCTTTGTACTTTATCTTGAAAATCTGAAAAACAGCACCACACAGATCAGTCAACAGCAGCGCCCAGCGAGTTTGTAAAATGAAGTTTACATTCTTCTTGACCTCTGACCTTGGTAAAGTTCCAGCGCTGGATGAAATGCCGTGCCAGGTCCCTGGCAGCTTTCCCATGAACAACTGCTCCAAGGTCACGCCATGGGATACGCGGCACCTGGGTCCGGTCCACATTATCTGAGGAAGAAAACACGTGTTTATCTTTGGACAGATAGTTTGCTATCATGATTTCAAAAGTTCTTTCATTGGATTTTCAATATTCTCACTGGCGCATTACATTCATCTCTTTTGGTCAGTGTTAAGTGAACACCAAACATGTGCATTGATGCAGCTACGTATTGTCCATTGGTATCCACTGGCATTACTAGAGGCTGTTCAGTGGTGCATCTGCGCAGTGTAGACTAGTGAAACTGGTACAAGTACAGCTTGTCCATAGGAATGCAATGGTACAGTGAGCCCACGGTTTGGTATGTATCACGGTTTTTGGGCCACAGTAATGATACTGTATCAGAATCTTTATAGTTAAGAAAAAATAAAAACACATCACTCTTTAAACAATGAACTCTTAATTTTGCCTATAGACAAATACAACTTTCCACTCAGAAAAATAGCAACACGAATGACTAGGCCTGGTTTCTGTCTGTACTTTAATACATAAAAATTAAAAGTGCTTCTTAGCTTTGACAATCTGTAGGTGCTTTGTCTTCCCTATTTTAAATAATTAAAGAGAGCTAAATATGGTATCTGTGTAGTTTGTTTTCAATTCCACTCTGTGATATTTCATACCCATACGAATTTAAAGAAAAAAGCATCACTTACATACTGGGCATCCTCTTACTTACTACCTCTTCACAAAATAGCTGTTAATGGGCTAGTAATGTTAGCCGAGGTAACTTCTCAGTAGCTGTTTACCTAAAAGACTGGCTGCCAGAGTCACGAGCACATCTGCAAATTTGGATAGGCTCAAGAGATATTCTAGTCTGCAGCGGAATAAAAAGTTTTGGAAATTACAGGAAAATGACAGGTATATCAGAATATTGTGGTTCACAGGTGTGTATTGAACCGTAGGAGATGTACCAAACAGTTCGATAACATACTGTGTATTGTTTCATCCCTACACTGCACAGTTACACTAGTGCAACTACTAAGTGTTCACTGGCACAACTTGACAATGTATACTAGTACAAGTTCAGAGCATTCAATGGAGTGACCGCACAGTGTTGACTGGTATCACCACATATTAACCAACGGCACGACTACAGTGTCAACTGGCATCATTGTACAATGACCAATGGTGCAACTGCACAGTGACCACTGGCATGATTGCACAAAGCGCACTGGGACGACTGTAGAGTATCCACTAGAGTAGCTTAACTGGAAATCAAGTTACCACCACAGAGTATTAGCTCAGTCCTAGATTCCTCTGTGGTGGTGGTGAGAGATCTGAACTGGACCTGAGTACCTTGGAAAGGCTGGTCCAGCTGTGTCCAGTCTTTCTTGATAAAGTTGCTGTAATCCTTGCCCAGCCATAAGAGAGAACTACAGCTCAAATCCACCTCATCATGAGCTTCCCCAGGATCCCCATCAGAAAGAGGAATGGCAGACCCATCTTCCCCTTCCGTCTGAGAGAGAAAAGATGAGAGATCTGTAAGAATGTGTGTGAGCGATAACAAAGAACATACAGAAAGAGATCTAGAATGGAAATAATAGCATAAACAGCAATACATGCATATGCAACAATACTACATATAAAACATTTATTACATCCTGACCTCTGGCACTGGTCTTGGACTGTGATTAGCTGTTTTGGAAGGAGCCACATCAATCAGCTTGTAGCTACTGTCATCCCATCTCCCAAAGGCAAGGTCCAGCCCGCCTACAAATGCCACGGTTTGGTCGATGACTACCATCTTCTCATGATGAGCCCACAAGAACACCACAGAGGCCACGTGATCAGGGTGACGCATCACCTAAGCAACACAAAAAACAAACACACAGGGAATGTTAGTCAAAGATCGGTAATGCTTTCTTATCTAAACAAACCTTAAGCGGGATAAACATCCTAAAGGCAAACATGGAAGCAGAGCTAGTCCAACTCATATACCACTGCAGTGCACTAATGGATTTCTAATTATGTTAAATGTAGATCAATAGTGACTGTAATAGGAATGTACAAGCACTTGCTGGGACACAGATACAAGCCTCGTTCAATACTTGTTACAACAGCATCACTTCCATGGAAATCCTGCAGGGCTAACGCTCAACATACAGGCTTCCTTCCAACAGTAGATAGAGGGTGATATAAAGAGAGAGCATTGTGTGGCATGATATAAAAGAATAGCAAAAAAAAGCAATAGAGGCACAAGGTATTATGATGTTGAGAGGTTTTATCAAATACAGTCATATGCAAAAGTTTGGGCATCCCTGGTCAAAGTACATGTTTGTTGATTTCATAGGTGAAAAGTTAACACACTTCTGCACATTTTAATGCACAATTATTGTTTAACATATTGGAAAAAAAATAAAACAAAATGTGACCTGTACGAAAGTTATAGCTCATTTTTCCCAATATATTAAACTCAGCAAATAAATCGAAATTGTGCACCAATATTTGCAGAAAAGTGTCATGTTTAAGTGTGTAGAGGATGTGTTAACTTATTTTCACTTAAAAAAAATCCATAAAACACTAGGATTGTTCATCGTTAGTCAGTGATGTACCAGCTGTAACCTAGGCAGCCCTACAAATATGGCCATTAAAGGCCACAGTAATGATGATAGAATAGGCACGACGCTACAATGCTGTGGATCTGAGCAGAAGAACAAGGTAAAATCTTATAATGTAGTGTAGTGTAGTGAGATGTAGTGTACAGACCTTGATGTTTGGGTGCAGATTCATCAGGGCTCTCTTACTGTAGTCACTGTTAATGCCCAGAGCCAACTCCACCTCCTTATACAAGAGTACGCACACCTTTACACCCTGCTCCTGAGAGAGAGAGAGAGAGAAAAGAGAGACACAAAAATGTTTGGTGTCTGAGGGTGTTTTCCCATTTAGTTCTTTTTAAATGACTCAAACTCAGTTCTGAAAGTGCTACGATGTAAGCAAACTTTAAAGGGGTCTCAGTTCTCTTTCTGATCCTCTTTAGCATTAATGAGATCTCAGACCACTTGTTGTTCTCAACTCAACACCTTTAGAACTCAGACCCAGTGACAATTTATAGGTTGTGTGATATGTATTGCAATTTAACAGCACATTTGATTGGCTGTGCCATGTTCAAAGCCATAGAAATATTGCAATTGCACCAAGCTACCACCCATGGAATCATATCACTAGATGTATCACTAGAAGCCATGCATTACAGTGAATTCACAGGTAGGGGGTGTCACTGCACGTTGTGTCATGTCTGTTAATGCTATAATGCGTCAGCGCTGCTGCCTCTTCACAAGATGGCACAAAACCAGGGGCAACCATTTACTGGGAACGCACAATGAATTGTATCTTAATCATTATTGTGATAAATACAACGTTAAGGCCTGTGATAATACAACAGATCAAATAACTTTACACGTGCAGGGCAAGAATGATGTAATGTTTTTGTTGATTTTCTAATTTAAAATTTGTTAACATACAAACATGGCACTTTTTTAAAAAAATTTAGGACACCATTTCTATTTATTTCCCAATAAAAACAAAAACAAATGTAATGCTGATTGTTTTCCAGCCTTACAGAGCAAAAAAATGTCCTCCCACCACTGATATAAGTAGCTATTACATATAGGTAGTATTTTATTTTTATGTTCTACAACATTGAATGTCGCTTTCGTAATTTTGCATTGTTTGCTATTTGCTTAAAGCAGAGGTTAGTTAGATGTCTGTTTATTAAAAAAAGTCTGTACTTGAGCCAAATTCCGTCAATGTCACACTATTTTAAACTTCAGCACTTCTTATATTGTCTTTGTGATCGCCAACAGTTTTATCAAAGAAAACATTTCATGCCCATATCGTGCAAGCTTAGTATTTCATAAGCACTGGAAGATTAAGGCTGTGTATGTGTGGTAAGCCTCCCGGTTCTTTAACCAGACTGGGGCTGTTTTCTTCTGCACAAATTAAGTGGACCACAAAAGAAACACAAACAAACAATACAAAAACGGCCCAGATGTGAAAATGGCTCAAGCGTGAAAATGTCCAAGCGTGAAAACGCCCAAGTGTGAAAACGCTCCAAAGTTTGCTTCTTTACTTTTGACCTGGAGCTATGAGGCCAGTGTAACTAAGCACAAGTGTGGACAAAACACAAGCTTCAAAATGGCTACTATCACTGTTTTTAGCTATGTGACAAATTTCTGTCCATTTTAGATGACAGTTAGCATCCAGTGTTAAAAAAACCACATAAGTCTATTTCAGATTAGTGAACAATTGAACACAGTTGGAGTCAACTCTGTGATGATTAAGCTGCAGTATGTATGATGCTAATTACTTAAACTTCCATTAGTAGTCAATAACAGCAGCACTGTAGATCCAGTGCAAACCTAAAGAAGCAAAGACACCAAGCATGTCATGTTCAGTTGATCATGTTTGAGGTGAGAGAAAAGATTTTGGCCAACTTGTCTTTTTAATAGTGAAATTACTGCTAATAAAACAGTTCAACAATTGTGCCCCACAGAAGAGGGGGAGGATGAAGAAAGTGGGGAAGGCAAGGAGTTATGGGAAATGTAGTGCAAGGTTCTCCTTACTGCTTTGCGTTTGAGGATCTGGTCCAGACGCCAGTACGTTCCTCTGGCGGGACGTTTGAGGAAGACTTCAGGGCTCAGCCTGAGACAGAGAGACAGGAGCTATCAGGACTGAACTCATGCATCCATTTATTCGCAATGAGGAGACTGACCTCACCGCTCAGCAATGTGAACTTATTAAAAGCTGGACAAGAGAGATGAAACCAAGCTTTGAAGATGAGGAATGAAGGATAACTCGCCATAGAAGATGCATTAACTATGATGTAGGAGCACTAGGTTCAGGACAGCCTGGTACTGGAAGAAACACTGCACCGTGATGTTGGCTACATCAAATTACAAGCCTTACTGTGACATTTTTCTCAAATCTGATATTTCTGCCTTGACGTTTCACTTCTGTCTGATATGAATCCATCACACTACTGTTTACACAGTTCTGAAAAAAACTCAAGGGGACTGAGTAGCTAAACGAAGCGTGTGTAATGATACTGACCACCAGTCAGTGATGAAGATCTCTTCCTTCGCCTTCTCCAGTGCATCTGCCAGGTCCGAAAAATAGCCACTGCCGTTCACATACCTGCCAGTCAATCAATCAGTCAATCAGTGAAGACGTTTTAACTTCAGAAGTGCTTTTTGTCAATCCGTTACTGATTCAACCACTGAATTGTACTATTTAAATGTGGAACTACTTTTCATGTTCTAACTAACAGGATGTCAATTTGTTTTGTGCACTGTGGACATGGACACTCACCATTTAGTGAAGGTGTGAGGTCTGGGCGGGGCGAAGCCCTCGAAGCGATGCATCTGGAGGAAATCGCAGCGTTCAGACAGACGACGAATCTCATGACTCCACCACTGAGCTTGCCTGTAGCTGTTGCACTTAATGATCAACTTCCTGTACACGAATATACATTACAGTTTATAAACGCTTCTTCACATTAAAACACTCTCCTTAATTTATCAAAAACGTATCCTTATTCTGAATAACCCAGGATGTTACAGTAAAATCGGTGCCATATGTGAGACACAACAGTCCACTACCCATGATTTAATTTTGACACTCAAACCAAGAATACTTTGGAATATCAAAGTAGAATACAAAGTAGTATAAGTAGTATATCTGTCTTAAAGGTACAGCAACCAAAGCAGCCTGTTTAAGGGATAAACAGAGGTGGAAACAGTCACATAGAAATGAATTAGGACTGTTTAGGTACATAACCCCCAAACGCATGTTATAAGTAAAATCAAAGAAAAAAATGTAGGATATGGACCCTTTAAGTTCAAATGTTTGTATATTGTTATATTTGTATATTTGTACAAATAGTTTCTATTCAATGTGAATTTTCAATGTTACATTGTTTTTTGTGTACCTGCTGAAGTTTTCGATGCACACTCCATGTTTGGTGTCGGTGTAGCAGCGGCCCACCAGAACCTTCAGCTCAGGATCAAAGAGCAGCACAAACGACACCAGCCCAGGATCTCTGATCACATAACCAATAAACAAATGATTAGATCCAATCCCAACACCAACACCAGTACTCAAAGATTTAAATCTTCTTCATAAAACATGAACATTTGTGACCTTTGCTGCAAGATATTAACATATTAAAGTATATTAGGGCTGCCAAATGATTCAAATAATTAATTGTGATTAATCTTGTTTGACTAATTTGATATTATTTGTTTTATCCTAAACATTTTTTTTCCATTTAAAGACAGATTTTGTTACAGCTGTGAACACTTCGCAACTTTCATCACTGTTCATCCAGTGAGAGCAGCAGTGGCTGCATGTTCCAACCAAAGAGTGAACATTTCTATGTCTAACATTAGAATCATTTTGCATAACTGTCTGACATTTGAAATTTGATGAAAACATGTCTAGTCTGAGTCTAAATTTGTCAGCAGGAGAAGGTTTCCAAGGAGAAAAAGAGGAAGGGGACTTATGTGCGCAAGAACAAACTGTTCTTGACCTTTTCCCTATAACCTCTCTAAGCATGGAGAAGTTGTTAAAACAAGATGAATTGCATCCTCGCCTCAGACAGGAAGACGAAGTTAGGACGGGGAGGCTTGAGGTTGGTGGAGCTGAAGAACAGGAAAGGAGGTGAAGGGTGTGTGGGTGCAAGAGTTTATGACTTGTTGATTTGTTGAACACAAACAGACACAAGGGTCAAATCAGGAAAACGCTCTAATTATGGCAAAAAAATTATAAGCGGCATTCCTAATCTATCCTGTCAACACATATGACAGCCCTAATATATATATATATATATAAGTATACATTAATTTCATTTTATAGAAAATGAATAATAATGTTTTTAATAAAGGAAAACTCTCTGCATTAATATTTTTATGTGAGTACTGAACAGATGAATTGATACTTTGGAACTGTCCTGCATGAGTGTGCTTGTGTCAGACCTGGACATGTAGAGCAGGAAGGAGTCTTTGACCACCAGCCAGCGGTGTGACCAGCGGAAGCAGAATTGATGATGGCCGAAGCAGTTGAGGCCCTGAATGCGGTGTCCTCCTGACCTCTTCGAAATAAAACCTTCACTGAGACACAAAAAGAACAAAGCAACAGACACAAGTGACCAGAACGAAAAGCAGGCATCAACTATTTAATTTATCCAAACCAAACACATGTAGAGACAAGCCTAGTAGTGCTGCAACACTGCTTGAAACACTGCCCACTGTATTTATTTATTAAAAACTTTTTATTATTTATTTATTATTATTATTGTTATTATTTTTAAATGCAGCCTATGGGTGAATCTAATTATGCACGCTTATTTGATTCAGGTGAGCAGAAACACACTCATTAGCAAAGATCTTTATTCAGAAACATATGTAAACCAATGCTTCTCAAAGCAATCAATGTAAAAAACTGTTTAAAGTTATTTATCATGGCAGGCAGTTTGATTTTGCCAGTAAAAACACAATATAACACTAGAATAAATACAGATAAACACTGAAAACTTTTTTTGGTACATAAAAAGTTTTTTATATATTAGTGAGAAGAACACAGGCTGCACTTCAGCCACTGCTGGAGCCAATTCTATAAACTAACACACTCACACATATCAAATCACAGTGTATCGTTTATTTATTTATTTGTGTTTTTTCTAATGTCCCTGAACCCTTAAATGCTTACCACCCAGATAGAACAATAGTGAAGACATCAAAACTATGAAATAATACTCATGGAATTACACCAATCAGAACTTTTGGCCTTATTTAGTAAGTAGGATGTCTCTTAATTTCATCGATTGCTTTGTTGGGAAACAACAGAGATACAGCTGTAAGTGAAGCTTCCTCTGGTAAACCTAAAGCTGAACCAAGTGAAAATCTACTGATCTAACATGAACAGACACCTGCAAACACGCTCACAGAGACACACTCGAACTGCTGTACTTACAGGCCTTTGGGTCCGAGGTCTTTGATAAAGGAGAGAGGACTGACTGCAAGGAATTCCAGCTGAGAGAACAAGGAGATAAACATTTTATGATAATATTTTGTATTATGTGTGCATGTACAGTGCTTAATTATCAAGGCACTATTATTATCTTCCTGTAAAGCAAAAAACTGCCACATAAAAAGAAGCCCAAAAAACGTTATTATTATTATTATTCTTATTATTATTATTACTAGTAGTAGTAGCAGTAGTAGTATTTGTACTAACAGTAGAAGTAGTTGTATCAGGTTTCTTTTATGTTATGTATGACAATTCTATTTGTTATATCTGATTCACAGGAAAATTAAAAGTGATAGATTGAAAAATTAAAATTAAAAAGACACTGAATTATAATCGTAAATATATCAATTTTACTGGAAAACATAACTCGAGGAAGGAACTGTGTCTGTCTGAACTATAAGTGTGTTCACCATGCCACTGTAGTTCCTGCAGAACGTGTTCTCCAGCAGGCTGTTCAGATACTCCTCCAGATATTTCTGCAACATAGAAATATTGTATAATACAATATGAGTCAACATAAGACCACAGAATTACAGTAAAACTGTACCATTAAAAAGTTTGTAATCAGTGTTTTTCAATAAAGCTAATTTTGTTACAGATTAATATATAACTATTCTAAAATAACAGGTTTCAAATAATTACTAGAAAGCTGTAAAAAAAAACAAATAAATAAATAAATAAATAAAAAAACAAAAAAGAACTGTACAAAACAGGCTTGTCAAACTGGGGAGCTTCTGCGCCAAAATCCTGCAGAGATTAGGGTTTACCCTCATCTAATGCTCTGAATTCAGTTCATGAAGACCTTGCTAATTTGTTGATGAGCTGAATCAGGTGTGTTTAATGAGGTAGCGTGTTCAAGTCTGCAGTGTTTTGGCCTTGCAGGACTGGAGCCTGACACATGTAGTAGATTGTAAAATAACAGAAAAAGCTGTAAAAGATTGAGATAATTAAAAAAGCTGTGTAAATTTGAGTGAACATGCATAATAGATCTATTTTAAAAATGTTTCTATTTTAAAATCTCATTTAATAATGTCTTGCTGTTCCCAGAACACTGAAAAATATTGTTTAGTGTTTGGTTTGTAATATTTAAATCTGCAATATTAAGCATACATATAATATTTAAATGTACATTGTACAAGTATAAAATAAAATAAAATAAAATATAAAAAAATAAAAAATTCTGACTTCTAATTCCAAATGTTTAAATGATAGTGCACGTAAATATTACTGTGTACCGGTTTGCTGGACGTCCTCCTCATCCTCTCTGTGCCGTGTAGAGTGGGCATCTCCTCACTCATGCTCTCCAACTGCTGCCTCTGAATGGCAAACCTGACACAAACACACCCACACACAGCAGTGTTTTGAATCTTAAAGCTGGAGTGTCTCATAAAACTTTTTCCATTTCTCATTGTTTTTTTTTTCAATTGGACTGCTGCGAGATACAGTGCGTTCCAAAAGTATCTAACCCCTTAAAAGCCATCAGATTAATCTGGTTTACAAATAACACTCTGATATTTTGTGCTGTGTCATATTATTTTAAAAGCCTGGCCTTCAAAATGAATGAATTTAAAGTGATATTATTTGTATGTAAGAAAATATTCTGACAAAAATTACTTAACAAAAACCTCTGTAGTATGAAAGCACCAAGCTGATTAAAGTTACTGCCCTAATGAGGACACAACTGGTGTGCACACAATTGGAAAAGGCTACAAAATAATATCCTAGTGTTTGGATACCCCAGTGTTGGATCACCTGTGAGAAAAGAAGTTGCATCATACCACCTGAGCTTCTCAGAAAGAGTGACTTTGATAAAATGTGAGATTTTTGTAGTCAGATGAGACAAAAAAAAAGCTCTCTGGACAAAATTCAAAATGCTGTTTGTAGTGTAAACCTAACACTGCTCATTCCTTAACAGACACTATCCCAACAGTGAAGTATGGTGGTGGCAGCATCATGTCATGGGGATTCTTCTCCTCAGCAGGGACTGGGAATCTTGTTTAAATTGAAGATGGTGTAGGGAGATACTACAAGACAACCTGCTTCAGTCTGTTAACAATTAAAGTCTGGGAGTAACTTGATCTTTCAGCAGGACAGTGATTCCAGGCAATCTAATCAAGAATCTGTGGCACTGTTTAAAAATTACAGTCATTCAAACAACCTGATCAACTCAACAAATCTGCTTAGAAGAACAGACAAAATTCACTCCCAAACAGAGTGCAAAGCTAGTAGCTACTTAATCCAAGAGAGTTACCTCTGAAGCCATGAGTTATGCCCATATTAGAAACTCTGGGTCCAAGATGCATTTCTCTACGGCAAAAATGAGTGGGACTTTTGAAAATTGCTGCCATCATGCTACCCAAAAATGTTCCAAACCTGCTACATTTTGTCCTGTGTACATATTTCTTACACAGAGTGTCGCTGGATCCTCTGAATTACAAGGTTGTCAAGGAGCCAAAATATGAACGTTGCTACATTCATGGTCATAGTGAGCCATCACTCCTTCACATGGAAATTACATTGCATTAATCTTCAACCACAATTATATAATAACACCAGCTACTCATAATACTCTTACGTTACTACTACCAAAACACCTTAACAAGTTCAGTGGCCTACAGCAATAAAAGGTGGCTCTACCAAGCACTAATCTGAAGAGTTTAAATACTTATGCAAGCAGAATTTTTGCTTGTTTTTTTTTTTTAAACATCTGCTGACAAATAATGAATTTAGCACCAGAGTGGAAAGAAGGTAACACTGCATAATTTGTGCATGTGTACATATGTATCAATGTGCACTCACCTCCCAAGGGGAAGAAACTGCAGCATCATCTTGTGTTTGTACAAATCCCTCTGCAGCTCCTGAAAATGCTTATATTTCCTCTTCACTGTCCAGGTGAACTCACCATGGGTCAGACGCACCGTATACAGAGTGCACACACGCACCTGCACACACAGCACATGATACACAAAACCTTTTTAAAAGCTCGAAAAAGCTTAAAACACACGTTTAATGAAGTTCTATGGGGGTCACCATGACTAAGTGACATCACAAGAAGTTAAAGCTCTTGAAAAGCTCTGACCTTCCGAGTCAGGATTAGTTGGAGCTGGAAGGACCTACAGACTATTTACCAGTTGCTTTTTTAATAAGTTGCACACACCTTGGAACGAGTTGTGTATCTCTCAGTGTTTTCCACTTTGCAGGTGATGGGTGTGTTATGGAGAAATGGAGATATTCCTTCCTCCTTGAGGTCAGCTAGATGATGCACCACGAAAAACTTTCGCAAATCTGAAACAGAAACACATACACACACACACATAAACAACAACAGAACTCAGCATCCGATAATTAGCATTTAAAGCGATGGCCCTGCTAGAAAAAACAGCACAGGCCAGCATTGCTGTTCACCAGTAAAACCAGCATGTGCTGTGTTTTGGATGGTGGTATGATGGCCAGCAGTAACGGAAGTTAACATGCTGGTCACCAGCAACACCAGAAAGTGTTGTGTTTTGGATGGTGGTATGATGGTCAATCAGCCTAACCATCAGCATAAACCAGCATAAACCAGGTTAGATTAGCAGACCATGCTGGTCTGTGCTGTTTTTTTCAGCATAGAATTCAGCCAGAAATCACATACACTATTTTTCCCTTACAACAAATGTACTCAACCAGCAAAGACATGTTTTCTGTCTGACAAGACTCTGTCTGGCTTTAGTTTGACACTGAAGCTACAAGGCTAACATAGCTAAGCAATGTTAGATTACAGCCAGGAATTAGTTTTGCGCAAACAGCAAAACTAAATTATTACACACTCTCCTGAACATGTGTCCAGTTGTTCAGCAATCTCAAATAGTCTTGCTTCTGTGGTTTCTGACACTATATGACACACTGCTATCTTTAAAAATAGATAAAAGTACATCACATAGCTAAATACAGTACTAGTAGCCATCCTGAAACTCGAGTTTTGTTCATATGTTGGTCCATTTTTATAATTAACAGTATGTGAAACCACATAATCAAGTCTATTTAAGAATACTGAACAACTCAACGACGTTTCAGGCGAGCATGTTAACATTTAGGCATATAGCTTGTACAGTGAGGACTAGTGTACGATAGCTTCTATAAGTGTTTAGCTACAGTAGTCTTGTAGCTCCAGGGCAAAACTAAAGGAGCTCATTTCCAGGCAGCAAACACATCTTGGTTAAAAATTCAACTGGTTTTGCTGTTCAGCCACACATTTAGTGCAAAACAGTTTAATACTAAAAGTAAAACTGAATCTTGCATGTTTTCTCTTTCTTTTCTGTGGTCACAATCTTGTTTTGGTCTGTTGTCACATTGACCACACAGTTTCCTCTGTGTGTGTGTGTGTGTGGTGTGTGTGTGTACAACAGAAAATTTCACTTCCTCTAGTGAAGGATGACCTACCAGTGACCCTGAGCTGTGTGCATGTGCGTTCCTTGACTAGTTACTTTCTGGTTTACAAGAGACAGAAAAATTAATTTTGCAGAATATTATGGTTGGTGTTTTGAGTCTCATCTTCATGGTTCTGGTAATCATAACTATAATAATATGATAATCATATATTATTAAACGTCAACTATGGTTGTTCACATCTAAACTCCATAGTCCTAAAACTGTGAGGGACATAATGGTCCAGCTGTGGGCTGTAGGGTAGTTGTGGGCTGAAGGTTAGGGAACCAGCCTCATGACCAGAAGGTCGTTGATTTGATCCCCTGAGCCGATTTGCCCACTGTGGGACTATTGTGGACATGACCAGAACAAATGTCCAAATACTTTTTTGTAGATCAGTAATCATTTCTATATTAGTTTTCCTCATACTTATTTATTTGTGCATATATATAGATAGATAGATAGATAGATAGACAGATAGATAGACAGATAGATATATGGATATATAATATATATTTATTATAACTTATAATCATTCATTAATTGACATGACATGGTCTGAAAAACTTGACCCAACACCTCTGCCTTTTAAATAATTATTTCAGGCTTGTCAGGGTGACTAACAGCAGCACATGGACCCCACATTTTAGTGTCTTTTGTCACTCCTGACTCAGCAACGCTACTCTTTCAATACATAGCACAGTTTTAATTATGTTGTAACTACAACTGCCCATTACAAAAGTGCCTTCTGAAGTTGTTAAAACAGAAGATGGTGAAATTTAATCTAGTCAATTTGGCACAGTAGAATTCTGTTCGTATTTATTTTTATAGTCATTCTACTATTAATCCATTTATTATTTACATTGAAATTTATTTTTAAAGTGATCATTGTATTTTGGTTTATCATCACAGGAAGGGATTTTTAGAAAGTGGTCAAAACTTTCTAAATGCTTGTTCTTTATATGAGAAGAGCCTCTTTGTGTTTTAGAGTGTTTCTCTCAGATCAGAATTCTGTGCCTCCCCATCACTGGTATGTACCCTTGACTGGATTTATAATTTGGGGAGTTTGGGCCAGTCCAGGGTGATAATGTTCTCTTATCATCTCTTTGTTCTTCCTGCTCAGAGCTACAGCATCTCTCTGTAAGGCAACAGCTGTAACAAATCCAATCTTCTTCTCATGACAGTGTAGTTTATTCTCAGTCAGCTTCAGGCAGCAGTAGATATTGCCGTGGAAAATAACTAAATAAATCGGAAAACAGTCTCAGAGTCACAATTAATGCTCGAATGTAATAGGTTTATAAAAACTAGGCTGGGGAAAAGCTCCTGGAAATACCCAGAGATCTCCAAAGACAGACCAAAGTTACAAAGATTATGTATCCCCTAGGATGGGTGTGGTTTTTGTGTCATTGGTTAAGAGAGAACAAAGAAGATACAATCCATTGGTTACAACTAATGGTGATATACATAAACATGAGTGTCAACATATATGCATAATAAATGAAAAGGAAGGAAGCTTATATGGTCAGAAAAGTCTTCACCCACCCAGTCTCTTCTAGACACTTTAGTGTCTAAATCCTCAAGGCCACTAAACAATGAATCACAGTAGCCCCTGTCAGCTAGCTAAGCCTCAGGACAGACAACAGAAGCATAGAGCCTGGGAAACTGTAAGGACCCGTTATCTAACTCTTGCACTCAGAAGAATGGTGAGAGTCCACCCAAATGTTTAGAGTAACAAACTCCTTCGACAGCTAAGAACACTAAAATAAATTCCTATATACCTCCTGTAAGCATATATAAATCATGGTTATAGAAGTGAAACAACTGGTTATACTAAAATCCACTTAAATGGGTTTCACACACGCACATCTCTCAAAGGTGAAACTTTGGTCATCAAAATCAAAACCACAATATTCTCATCAAAATATAAAGTACAGCGATATATATAGCCTCCAGTTCATTCAGGTTAGTTTTTATTTAAAGATGTCTGCCTTGAGATTTGATCACCTCTTTTGGGATACGAGGCATTCTGGATACTGATCTACTCAAAACTTCACTTTCAATACTGAACATCTTTCTCAGTCATTTTACAATCATCTACAGCAGCGTTCAAAAGTGTTAAATCCAGAGGGAACCTTTACACCCTTCTAAGAAGCCTGATTGATTTCTGGAACCTAAAGAATGTGCATGTGTAATCCTAATTTATTTTTTATTCATACAATCATAAAATCATGCTTGTATTTAAACTCGGCAAGTATTACAGCGCTACTATTGTTTTACTGTTAAGCTTTTTATGGAAAAAAAGGTTCAATTCTTCAAACACCAAATGGAAAATTGGTCAGTCAGGTACTGTTTTTCTATGAGGTATCTAGGTAGATACAGCTAAGTGAGCTCCTACTGGTTAGGACTTCAAGAGCTGAAGAGAAGGCCTGAAGCCTGAAGTTAGATTAACCATCAGCGTAATTAGGAAGTGATGTAATAATCGACCAATCACGTTTTGATTTCTAATAGGCACAACCAATTATGTGATGAAAAAAAATGTCACTTTAGGCCTTCTGGAAGTCCTAGACACTTCTCTGACTGAATACAACTGATAGCCTAATCAATGGATTGATAAAAATGGAAAACAGCGGCAGCAGCTTGATACCAGAGTTCACTACTGGAAGAGTCACTGTGAAACTGAAACAAGGTAAAATATGTTAATATGTTTGTCACAAGCTTCAAGCAAAAAACAAATCATCTATACAGATCTTCAAATGTCTGTGCTCAATCTAGAATTGTCAAAAATGTTTATGCAAATAGCTGTTATCTTAGTGCTAACATACTACTACAGTCCCATAGGGATGCTAGCAGAAATTAGCATTATAGTCGAGGTGGGTTTTTCTTCATGTTTTGACCAAGTTTTGACATTTATGGCCTGGGGCTGGAATTAAAGGTCTACATCTAAGTCATGGTTTATCAAATCATTATTTAGGCAAAACCTGCTCTTCATTACAAGAACGACACTCAAACTATCTAGATGAGTGTTGAAGTTTAATGTACACAAAGTATTAGCGTAGAGCTGCGAAAATCAAAACATTTCAAAAAGAAGGCCAGGTTTCCGTAAATGTTTGACAGGCAGTGAATCTCTGTATAAACATCTAGAAACATTTTAAAACTATTTAGGTCAGAGGTTTCCTTTATTTTCCAAATAAACCATCAAACGTCATTTCAGTCCAATCCACATTTTTACTCTCTGCTTTTACATGCACTGAAGAAAAGCTCCAGTGTGCTTGATCAGATAATGCTCTATTAGCCAGCATATGCATGCTTGTGAAAAAGCAAGGCCTCATTCTCTTGTAATTTATGATTGTAGGAATCAGAGTGCATCCTGCTGCCATCTCCCATCTAGAGCAACCACTAAACATTAGCATGAGGACCTATAGTTAAGGAATTTGCAGGCGAGCCTCTTTAATGGTGTTTTCACACTCAAAACTTGGTACATTACTGGCATATCACTGGCTCAAACCTGTAGGCCTAAAACAGCATTTTAGCATTATATATATCAAACCACAATGTTTGTAAACATAAATATTGGCTATACTTCTGGGTGGATAACTTGCACCCAGTTAATTACAGCATAATTTACAATATATTCAAGCATAACTGAAAAACATTGGCAATAAGGGTAAAATTTTGTTATGTTTGAAGCTGTCATGTCAAATGTACCCAAGAATGTGGTGGATTTTACTTACATTTTTCCCATTTTCTAGTGTTCAAAAGTAAGTAGAGATGCTATAAGTGGTATTAAACCTACTGAGGGATCAGTAACGCTAGTAACAGCTGAAGCTAATGACAATTTATTGAATCCTTTTCTCTTCCCGATAAAGATACCAAGCACCATTACACAAACAATAAGAGCACCAGAATGTACGGTATGTCGCGGTTTTTATTTCTATTTTTAGAATTATTACTCAACATAACATATTACTTACATAAGTTGACAATAGCTATAAGCAGCTAGCACTATTAGCATTTACGCTAAAGGCCACAAAAGCGTTTGTGCTAATATTCCATACTCGACACAGAAACACTGACGCTTTGTTTGACTCTACACGATTTTGTGTAAATGTAGACATTTGTGTGCGCAAAACACAAGTTTTTCATGTTAGCCATAAGGTAAGCTAACTAGCAAGCTAGGCAGATAATTAGCCAAACTAGACACTTCTAGTGAAATAAAATGACCAAAAATACCATTAAATTGTGAATCATAGTTATTGTAAATGGTTACAGCTGTAAATGAATGAAAATCGTAAGCTCATTTAGTTCATGTTTGGTTCAGTTCTTGTTTTTGAATGTGCAGCAGGAAAACACCTCAAATATTTAAACAGTAAATACTTTTTTTACTAAACCCTGCAATGAAATCATATCATATGATCATGTGACATATTAATGACACAAAGTCGCAAAATCATTGACCTGGGAAGATTATTTTTTTTCTAGTTTTCCTATTTTTCCTAGTTTTTCTAGGCTAAGTATGTTTAGATTTAGTACATAATCCTGTTGTATCAAGGCAGCGCTAACTGAGTTATCCACCCAGAAGTGTAAGGTTTTTGTTATATTTGGGGAAAAATGAAGTCGCAGCACAGTCAGCGAAGTCTCTGCCAGATTTAGTCGAAGAATTCATCAGACAAAAACAAGCTTCATAATGCTGAAGAAAAGTGATCATGCAAAAAGAAGATTAACTAAACGTTTGAATTGGTTAAAATAAAAGAAACAAGGCAATAAATGAATGCAAAATCAAAGAGACTGAAACACGACTGGTTGCAGCATTCAGCTGTCTCTCAAAGTTGCCATAAACAAATAGATAATGGCCTGCTGCTGCTGACCTCACAATGAATCCAACCTCTCACAGGCTAGCTGGCTGGCTGGCTTGACTGACCAATGACTCTGGTTAACCGTTTTTAAGCTTCTCTTTTCACATCATTTGAAAGCTTTTGCCCAATCTATTTCAAAAGTTTCTTTAAGCCTTTCAAGTGCATAAACTGTACAGATTTGGACATAAGTCAAAGATAACGTGCTGTTCTACAGATAAGTTTAAAAACATCACACTCGGTTATAAATGATTACACCTTAAGTAGTAAAGCTAATCACAGCAGATCAATGGGTATCCAAGGAAGGACAGACGAATAATAAGCTGAATATTAAAATGTACGCTTTTCAGAAATAAGTTCTTTGCTGTTGTGACGTAACGCTAATTTGTCCTATACACTTTCATATTAGATGCCTGCACAGATATGAAACTGAAGCCCAAACCCAACCTGCACGAGATTTTAAGACCCGACCAGGCCCGGACGGTAGTATGCTGCTAAATTTAAAACCCAAACCTGATCCAAACACACTTTCATTATCACAGACATGTTTTACAGAGCTCTGCTTTCTCGCTTGAGTTGATGGACAGAAGATTTTTACAAATCTATAATGCACCAACAGTATTTATTATCAGTACGTTTTTGTGGAATGGCTGATAGTACCTCACAGAGAACAGCATCCACTCCCCTTTGATCACCTGTTAGCTCCGCTTTGCTAACGTCCCGCTACTTCAAAAATGCTTAAGAAGAGATGCACCAAAATTTAGTCTATAGAACCATTTCGCCAAAAATGGTCAAAAGTGGACATAAGAAAAAAGGACGAAAAAAATGAAAAATACAAAAATCACTCAGTTATTTGAAATAATACCGTTCAGCCAGTATAGCTCATATACAAAATCAATGCTGCAGAAACAGCCCATTTTGAATTCACTGCTTCTGTGATTTCAAAAGAACCAGACCATTTACACCTATCCACATATTCAGCTGACAAATATGTAGCCCCACCCACTCATGTTGGCATTCTAAGGCGTATTTCAGCCCTGAGTGAATCAGGCATATGGTTACAGAAATTGTCATTTCAGACATAAATAGTATATTCTATAGTCAATCATAATACGTTTATGCTCATAATACAAGCTCATTAAAAGGCACCGCCTGTTTAATTCTAAGGGACAAAGAGAGGCTGGAAAATGGTGAGGTAAAAATAAATGATGACAATTTTTGGTATATAAAACAACACAAATGTTATAAACAAACTTTAGGGGTGTTAAGAAAAAAAAATACAATGTAGGACATGGGTCCTTTAAATAAGGCTACAACAAAGTGCCCAAATGTAACACTTCACACATAATCTGAACTACAAATCATTTGAATTATAATAAAAAATGAGAAAAAGCAACTAAAAACGCTGTTTGTGTCTTTCGTTCTCCTGTGCAGCCACGTTCAAACAATCTGAGCAGCAGACAAACAGTCAGCCTAAACCTATTTTGTGGTTTCTCAGAAGGACATTTAGACAAGCGATTTGTCATCACTGTTCATTTTGAGCATAAAGAGAGGATTATGACCCTCAAGAACGTCTCCACTACAGGTTTGATCACACTGACATCACGCTAAATATGTAGAATACAGCAAAACAGAAGCAGAAAGGAAAGTCCCTGCTACTCTGCTGATGGCATCTGCAGCTTCAGTTTTAATAATGACGGGAAAAATTTCACAAACAACAGCCAAAGTACAAAGTACAACTAAAAATAATGGAACTCACGGCGCTGAATGACCAAATGTTCTCTTTTATCGAGGACGTTGGATTTCACGACACATGCTGTATTACAAAATAATATGTTTAGTATGTTTATTTTATGCAAACTGTTCATATTTTTCTTTAGTCAGCTGAATTTCATGCTACTGCAAGCAGATTTTATCAATATTAAAAGTGTATTTCCTTTATTTCATTGTGGTGTTTATGTTTATATTTGTTTAAACAAATGAAACAGCAAATTAAAAACTCTGGAGCTCTTCTCTGGACCTTACCAGAGACAGAGAGAGAGAGAGAGAGAGAGATCATGTATGTAGCCATATTCCATCAAACATACAAATCTACAACTTCTTAAAAATCAGTCATTAGAAAAGAAAACCAATGAAGCCCAACGAAAAATCAGCCCAAAACCCGAAATTTTGTTGGGCCCCCATCGGGCTCGCCTCGGGTAGCAGACCTCTGCTTCGCATCCGCCAATAAAGTCCCGTTACACAGAATGCAATCTCCTCAGCTCCTTTATTTCTGAATCATCAACAAAACTCCCACAGAATCTTCTCCCCCACACAAGAATTAAACTGAATAAGATTTAGTGTTGCCTTCAACATCTTCACTCATGTTTGACTTGTAGCCCATATGAGAACATGGGTATTACTACAAAGCAATGCAATCTGGTGCAGATGACACTACATGACAAACCCCTATTCCCATCGAAACCTCTCTCAGTGGTTTATAAGCTTCTTTTACTTGTTGGCCACATTAGCCTTTCAGCTCCAGTGCAAAACTAATGAAGAAAACATGTCTTGGCTTGTAAGGGAAAAGTCCCCTTTAAACACAATGGTTGCAGTAACCAACTGCAGCACTTACAGGAAACTTGTGGGCCAAGAGCAGTCAGCAAATCTGTATGCGTGTGTCACATAACCTGCATATGTTCCCCTGAGACGTCCCACCAAGCATCCTTGTCCTATCAGTGATTGGCTATTTATATACGTATAAGGGCGAGCTATGCCTGACTCCACCCTCAAAACAAAAGGAAAAGCTCTCTCTTGCTTTCTCTTCCTCTCTCTCTCTCTGAAAGCGATTCAGCCTGTTGGAGACCATCTTAATTGTGCAGTTTTATTACTTGGAAGGAAACAACACCTGCAGACAGCTTGTGCGTAAGCTAGTGAGTACTCAGAGTCTGAAGTTTCGGATGTTCGTTGTTTTTGTCTCTGGGAGGTTGTGCTGTGGTTTCTACGCTGAAAAAGCAAATTGTTTATACCATGTATCTGGACAATTACGGTGTTGTTCCTTGCGTTTATGAAAATGTATGTGTTATAGCACATTATATTACATTGCATATGTTATAGCAATACAGTTCAATTTAGCGCTGATGAAAAAAGTGATGAGTGTTTTTACAATGTGAAAGTGTTCAAAAGCTTTAAAAGGACCGTTTGCAGTCTCCTACTCGGAAGACTAAAGTCTAGAAAGCTAAGACGAGGTTGAAAAGTTGGTTCATCTATAAAAGAGAAATGTGCAACGAGACGACAGAAATAGATTTTTTGATGAAGTGTAGACCTGCTGTGTTTGGCACTACGTCCTTTCAGTAGCATTTGCTCCAGTGGTATTTAACGGCCACTGACCATCCCTTAGCTGTTAGGGCTACAGCCATGTGCAGCTCAAAGAAGATTAATTAGCTCTCTACTGTGAGCTAATACAGGCTCAAATGCCTCCATTATATACACCATGCATACAGCTGTATGGCACAAGTGAGCCACAGCATCTTCAGGAATTTGTGCAAAACAGTAGCTACTTATTCATATTTTCTTTTACTGACTTTTTTGCTTAAAAATTGTGAAACATTTGAAACTCTAATGTTTTGATCTAAGAAAAATCCTCACTACAGAAGCTGGCTAAAGAGGGTCAAGTGTTAGCTTTATTATCATTTTGCAACATCTGTCTTTAAAGCAACCACTTCCTCTTTGAAACTTCTTGTTTTTGATCTTCAGGTTGATGAAGTGCACCAAAATGCCCGGTCAGATCACACCCTACAGGCCACAAAATGTAGCAGACGACAAGGTCCTTTGTGTCAATTTGAGGACACAAGGAGCCAAAGTTGCAGAAAAGCGTTTGAATAAAACAAAGAAGGGGACGTTCCCCAGCAACGGGAGCCCCGCTGAACGCAGCGAATGGTGGAATAACCTCAAAGAGGGTGAAAAGAAAGCCAAACAGGCCATGGCCATCATGGCTTCAGAGTACGACCCAGCAATAAAGAGGCTGGACAGGTGCGAAAGGAAACTGTTAGGGCTTGAGACTAAGATGAAATCTCAAGAAGAAGAGATTGACTCGCTGAAAATAAAACTCCGAAAACAGGAAGAGGAAAACAAGCAGCTGAGAGATGCGATAGCCGAAGCTCAAGCTAGCCAACGTTTGAAAAATGAGGAGACCAACTTGTTGAGGCAAAGAGTCAAGTCTGATGATGAAGAGATCCAGTCATTGAGGCTGCAGCTCAGGTCTGTCAATGAAGAGGTTGAGTCGTTGAGGCAACTCAAGTATCCAGGAACATCACAAGATATAGTTGTACGGAATCAAACCTCTCCCCATAACTCTAGAGATGTGGCACGCTCTGGACAACCAGTGGTGCTCGTCAGTCCAGACCAGACACAACTACTTCATCCCATTAAGCTCCTTGAGGCCCTCCCTGACTTAGAGATGCACAACTCCAACCATGAGTTCTGGAAGAAGATAAAAGAGTGGATTGCCGTTGGAGTGCCTCCTCAACAAGTCTTTAGCTTGATCAAGGCAAAATGCCCTTCAGAAATTTGGAAGGTAGTAGTGAAGGACATCAATGAAAACGACTTCCAGGAAATCGACTTCTACAACTCTGCGCAAGTGGAGAGACTGTTGTGCAAGTTACGTAAGAGCATGTCAGAAGCTCTGGGGTCAGGGATAAAACTCTACAGTTTGTACAGCTGCAGACTCCAGAAAGAGGATGAATCCTTTGAGGACTACATCAAGGATAAGTTCAGGCTATATTGCTCATACGGACATGATGTGGACAACAAGGACCCGGACGTCAATGACCAGCTATTCCTCTTCAATGCCTTAAATGATGCAACCAAAGAATATCAAGAGTTCAATAAGTTTCAGTATCCCACAAGTTATGAGGACATGATGAACCGGGCTGCTGCTTTAGAGAGCTATAAGCTTGACGCTCAGAGAAGGAACGAGTGTGTCAACTGTGGCAAGAGTGGCCACACTAAAGCACGGTGCAGGAGGCCAGGAGGGGGCGCTGAGGCTGGTCCAAACGAATGCTTCAGGTGTGGGATTCGTGGCCACCGGGAGAGAAATTGCCGGAAGTAGATGAAGAGCAAGTCCACTGCACTGCTAGAAATAAAGGGGCTGTGCAGGTACATTTTTCATACATCAACATCATGTTTCTGTTTTGTTTGTGTATATATATATATATATATATATATATATATATATATATATACATATATATATATATATATATATATACACACACACACACACACACACACATTGTACTGCTATATTGTTACCTGCAATTTCCCTTCAGGACTAATAAAGTTCTTTCTTTCTTTCTTTCTTTCTTTCTGTCTGTCTATAGTTACTTATAAATTAATATTTTTCTCTGTTCTAGTTTTCTAGTTTTCAGTTCACTTTTCTGTATGTGTTTTTAAATGTGTATTAATCCTTTTGTATAATCTGGTCTTCTCTTGATTTGTCTTTCTTCTTGCAAAAGAAATCTGCAGAAATCATTAGGACTGCTTTGCAAAATAAAATAAAGCAAATAAAATACAGCTAAATAAAGAAGAAAATTTTAATTTTAAATTCTTGGTCTTATTACACTAATCATATTTTTTCCTGTTTTTTTCTTGTTGGGTTGTTCTGTCCAGTGTTTTCTATCACGGCATACATCAGAGCCTTTTGTTAATAAATCACTTCTGTTATCTTACCCACCGCTCGACTCCTTCTTTTTAACACACAGCACACATTCATTTCATTTAAAGTTACATTTTACAGCATTTTAGCCACTAGAATCTGCTGCTGTTCCATATTTTATTATAGAAAATGAAATTCCAAAACTTACAAGCTTCAATAACAAGAAAACTAACAGCCTATTTATAGCAGAGATCTTTCATAATACTCACATGTAATGTCATGTTTGGCTTTCCAGAACTTAAACTGACAGATTTTTCCAAGTCCAGAAAAGAAAAACATTGCCTACATTTAGTGACCTTTAGTAACATGGGTGTTTCAAGAAATCAACCATTTATTTCTTATTACATTTTGATTGAAAACAAGAGTATTACTGCAATAAAGGCAGAGTTTAAAAAGTGTGATGAAAGCATTGATGGTTCCCCTCTCCTGAAAAGAGTGTTAATTTGCAAAAAGCTCTACATTAATACAAGTGAATCAAACTCAATAGATATGTGGATAGATGCAAAACTGTTTCTTGTTTGTTGAAGCAGTTGTCAAGGCTACGACAGTTATTTAGTACTAACTCATTTAGCTTGATTTATTACATACTGGTATAGTTGTGTGAGGAAGTTTGAGCCCCTGGTCAAATTACACATTTTGTTGATTTCCTAAGTGAAAATATGCTTTTTTTTGTTTTGTTTTTTTTTTTTTTTACATGGAACAAACATGGAACAAACTTAAATATGATCTATTTCTGCACCTTTTAATGCACAGTTATTATTTTTTTGCTGAATTTCATGTTTTCATGTTTCATGTTTTGTGATATACAACCTCTTTTTTCCAGTTTCCTCACTGTGGCACATCAGCTTCAAGGTTTTGTTCCTATTTAAAAGAAGCCTTTCCTTCCTCTGTCCCTGCAAAATGTCTTTGGCTGCCACCCAACCTCAAAGCCTAACAGACCCACCCTCATGCTTAACTGTCGGCCAGGTGTTATTTTTAATTAAACGCTGCTCCTTTGTTTCTCCAAACCTAACTTTGGTGATGGTACCCAAAGAGTTCATTTTTGTTTTGTCAGACCACAGAACTTTCACAACGCTCTGTGCTCAAAGACCAACCACTGATGAGGGGTCAGAGGATGGAAAACACACACTAAACATACGGGCTGCAGTCTCTAATTATACACCAGCAAGGTGGAGCTACAGAGAATTCTACTCTTCCCTGTTAGAAATAAAGGTTCTGTGCAGGTACATTTATTGTTCATCAAGGTACAAACACTGTAAATGTTCGCTCAAAGGTACAACAGTGGATTTAAGGTCCAACTGTGCGCCTTAAATAGGTTTTTCCAGGTGAAAAGTATGTATCTGTATCTTTTATAACCTAATGTTTTAAAACGTGGAATAAAATAAAAAGCCTGGAGACGAGACGGGGTGTGTGGAGTCAATACAACTTGGAAAATGTAATTTCAATGGATTATGGTACAATTACGGTCCCTGACTAAAGGTACTGAGATGAACCCTTGAAGTACCACCCCAGTGACAAGAGGGGTCCTGCCCCAGTGACAGTTTGCTACCTTTATTTCTGAAAGTGTTCAAAAGTTTGACTTGTCACAGTAATAGTTGTTGGTTAATAATAACAAACCATGTGGGCTTAAATATTAAAAACCTATAATAACTTATTTTTAGATGTTATTACAGATAATTAATATCCTATAATTATCCATTTCAATTAATTCCAATTCAATTAATGTACTATATTCATTTGTTTGGTTCTTTTTGTTGTTGTTTTTTTTTTAATAGATGAACGGTCTCATGTTCCAGCAAACTAGTTTCAGAAAAACAGTGCTGGTGATGGGAACCAGATGTCTGACAAGTTTAATGCCTTGAAACGCTCCTTCACAGAAAGCTATTAAACGAATGGTAGCAAATACACTGTCTGATGCCTGACACATTGATTTATGACAAAGATTTTGGCCTAAAAGCTACTTTGAAAAAACAAATCAAGGTGGAAAGATACATGTAAAATAAGACAAAGTCAAAGAAAGATAAAATAGTGCCGAAAGAAATCTTGTGTTTTTGGATTTACCAATATTTTTCATTTTCAATATTTCATATAAACACTCAGAAGACACTCAGTTTGTATTCAGTCATTCCTGCCAAGTAATCTGTAAGATTTTATCAGCACTTTTGGAGTATGAAGCTTCTTGGATATTGCTACTCCTTCATTCCGGCTACTAACTTTATTACAACTTAATTTTATTACGACTTCATTAATGATGTTATATAAGAATCTTTCCCTGGATGGTTCTTTCGAGAAAATTGTTTGTGACATGTGTGATACAGTAATTATACAGTAATCCCTAACTCTGTTCATCATTGTTGACATTAGAAATGTCTTCGTTTTTACAGATTTCCATAAAGTACCTGAAAGCTCTCTCACTCTCTAGCACACACTTTTCTCCCTCCTTCACTTCAATCCTGATTTATGACATTTTCTTAACAGTTTTGTCGTCAGTGAAGAAATTCCTGCGTGTGTGTTTTTCTCACCGCTGTTGTTTCTGATGGAGTCGAGTTGTTCTTCATTCAGACAGGTGTCGCACTCCTCAGAGTGAAACCACTGCTTCTCTGTTTTCTCCTCCAGACTTGCCATGATGCTACTGACCGATCACACCTTTACCTGTTCACACACACACACGCACACGCACACGCACACGCACACGCACACGCACACGCACACGCACACACACAAATGACTATTAATGTTTATCCATAGCATTTAGAAGTTTCACTCCTCAGTCCATATATGGAAACTGCAATAATTGCTGTTTCTAAATTCATTGTTCTTGTCATTTTCAAACATCCACCTATTCGGTCTACAGCAGTTTAGCCCCTCCCACTCACACTGAGGTTATAAAGTCAAAAACTCTGTTCTACAAACTAGCTGATGAGAAATCAGCTATTTCTCTGAAAACAAAACATTCCTGTTACTTTCTACTGTGTTTTTGTTTATTTGCATTCATTCTAATGTGAGCAAAACCGCACATACTGCCAAGATATTATATGGTTTTAAATAATGCACAGTATTTTTGCACAGTACTGTATATAAAGTCCACGTGTAGGTTCACTGGTGGTTTTGGATGGGAAATAAAACAGCTACAGTATATTTGTGTTGTACACATTGTGACCTGGTTCCTTTCACCACCACTGTAAAGAAAACCAAGTCAGTAAGGTTCTCTGTAAGGCACCATACAACACAGAGCATTAGACGTCAAACAGCTTATTACCCCCCCCCATCTTCCTTAAATCTCTTTATTTACCTTTCTTTTACGCTGTGTCTCTCTTTTTACTTGTTACTTAACCCTTTCGAATTAAGTTATTATGCTTATGGTGCTATATATACTTAATTACATAATTATACAAATGTAATTCAACATTTATATGTAACTTCAGGTGAATGAATACAAGTAGTGATTCGGCCCTTCAAAATACAAAGCAGCCAGTCATAACAGGGGTCATTTACATATATATATATATAATATATATATATATATATATATATATATAATATATATCACACACAAAACAGTCTCTTTATTTCTAAGAAATAAAAAGAGGCTGAAATGAAATCAAGTTAAAATGAATTTTCACTGTTTTCAGTACAAAAACATACAAACATGGAACTCAGGGACAAAAATAAAACTTAGAATAGCATAAGATACGGGTCCTTTAAGTCTGCAGGGGTAAACTGTGTAACTGTACAAACTCAAAAAAGATCATGATCAAAGATTAAAACATACACACACACACACACAGTGTGGTTTTGGTCAGAGCCGGTTTATGAGGAGCCTGGCCACTTCCTATTCCCCCGTTATATCAAAAACAGGACTGCTAAACAGCAGAGGGCGCCCACAAGTGAGTCTTCAATGAACGGGAGTGAATGGAGCTCAACGGCTAAAAACAAAAAGTTAAAATAGTTTCTAATCACTTACCCAGAACGTTTCTTTAATTTTAGAAAGTAGAAGGATGTATTTCACTAAAAAAACAAAAAAAAAAAAACTCTCCTATATTTTCACCTTTTTCTACAGCAAACAGGTTTTGGGCAGCAGAAGCATTACTGCTAGAGCATGATGACTGATTGGTGAGCGGAGCAGCTCATTGGCTGTTCGTGCTCACTGATGTCATGAACATACACGAGGTGCCATTTTTAACTCCTATAGCTTGAGTTTAAAAGCTCTTAAAAATATAACAGTGGTGTTAAAATGTTTTAAGATATTCATTGTTGTATTCTTTTACCGTAACAATGTTTAAGCATTTATAAACCATGATTTTGCTCAAATGCTCCATATCAACCCATTCATTTTGGACTCGCTCGGGAGCGCCCTCTAGTGTTTGAGAAAAACGGAGGACACTGCAGAGTGGAAATTCTCCACTCTGGTTTTGGTGACCAAAGTTTCACCTTTGAGAGACGTGCGTGTGTGGAGCCCATTTAAGAGGATTTCAGGATAGCTGGTCGCTTTACTTATATACCCATGACTGATGTATGCTTTTAGAGGGTATACAGGAACTTCTTTTGTGGTGTTCTTAGCTTCAGAAGGTGGATATGTTACTCAAAATATTAGGGGGGACTCTCACTGTTCTTTGAGTGCAAAAAGAAGACAAGGGGTCAACTCCTTGTATTTTCCCAGGCCTTAGTTATTATTTGTAACCAACCTTAGTTATTAGTTGCAACCAATGGATTTCTTTGTTCTCTGTCTGTGTATCAACTCTACACTGTAAGTAGGATAAGTTGAATTTGAGGAAACTGGTTGCCTTAAAAAAATTAAGTAATGTGTAATGAAAAGTTGAGTTAGAATGACTATAATTTTTGTGTTTGGCTAACTTAAACACGTTTATGCACCTCATAAATTCTATTTTTTTAACTTAACGTCTTGATAATTCAATTTAACTACATGTTTCATTAGGCAAGAGAGAGTTTCTTTCTAATTAAGTGATACTGACCACTTTGACAAACACCGAAGAGTTTACAGTGAACATGGTCATTGACCAACACAAATGCTTATTCATCAGCAAAGAGAATGGTAACTTTCGCTCTTAGCCAACAACACAATGTCAGGCAGCTGAGTAAAGCATATATAAAACACATATGCCTAAGGAAAGGCAGTCTGGGTGGAATGAAAGCACACTGACAGTGAGTAAAACAAATGGAAAGAAACACTCAATATGCAAATAGACGGAGCCAGCAGCCAATGGGAAAGAAATATACGTTTAATCTAACAAGATCGTGTTAACAAAACAAACTGCGACTGTATTTTACAGCTTACTTAGCTTCACTCAGTTTCACACATTTGTTCAGCAACTTTAGTGAGAAAGAAACAATTAAAACCAGCAGAAATGTCGTCATTTTTTGAACGTAGGGTTTCAAAGTTGCCATAGCAACAGACTAAACAAAATAGCAATAAGTTAATTCAACTCAAAAATGCCATTTGAGTGTACAAAATCATCAAAAACATTCCCCTAACTTAAAATTGTTGAGTAATATGTGGGATATACTGAATTTTATATACAACAGACTTAATTTATTTGAGTTCAAACAAAATGCAGGATTACAGTGTACAGGGGTTATATAACTTTTGTAACTTTGGTCTTTGGAGATCTCTGGGTATTTTCAGGAGTTTCTCCACGGCCAAGAGTTTTAATACATTTATTAATGCTTTAATTGTGACTCTGAGACTTTTTTCTGGTTTATTTAGTTATTTTCCACAACACTATCATGCATCTTGGTTGGTATTATCAGCAAGTTTGAAGCTTGTAGAACCACAAACAAAACAGAGCAGACATGAACTGCTACCCTGTGGCAGGGAATGAACCCGAGCCTGAGAGCGTCTCCCTATTTTTTAACAATCTCAGCAGCCTTGTGCTCAAAATGTATTACATCTCCAAAAAAGCAGCAACACACAGCCCAGTGGTGAAACAAGAAAGCATCAGACAGATGTTCACGACTGAGGCAAAACCTGTAAGCACACAATTTCAATACATTATTGGAAATGAACACAAAACCTCCTCAACAGTGTAAGGAAATCTGAACCTGTATTACTAACGTGTCCCTCACTCTCTTCAGAGTGTCTCTCGCTTATCGTCTTCCGCAGAATCCGCAGTCAATCAAAACTAGGCTTCTGGGCGCACGCTATCTGAGTAAAGTGGGTGAGGGCTTAGCTTTTACTATGCACAGATCCAAGCTTTGGGGTTTGTATTGTTAGCGGGCTCGCAGCAGGCCTTAAAAAAGTTATGTCTGAGAACTGTGTAGTATACAGATGGTCTCAGCCAATCAGTTTTTGGAATTAGAACTATCCTTTTAAAGCTACACTATGTAACATTTGGGGATTTGGGGACCTCTCTGGTGGAAATGTGTAATGGCAGGCAAACGTGCAGAAGAACATGTGGGTAGTGCTTTGGATCCCTTCCCTGAGTGGATGAATCTGATGTAGTGATTCAAAGAGTATTCAAAGAGAACTGAAACTTGGTGAAAGAGAAGTTAAACCTTGTGAAAGGTGTGTCTTTTGAGGATGTGAGAGAAGTATCTACTGTTGTCATCATATTGTCATCAGTGTATGTAGATTTTGTATTTGAGACCTAAAAATTTAGCCCAACTTTGTTTTCACCATCGCGCGTGTAAGTCGAAACATAAAGATGTATGACCTGATATAAGAGATGGTCCGAAAAACTGTGCAATTCAACTTTACTCCTCTGATTTTTTAATTATTATTTTATCACATTTTCTTACCTGAGTAATACTTCTTTAAGCTTTAACAAAGAAACTTACATTATTAATAGTAATTGCAAGAAACAATTCTTCTGCCAAACAATGTAGTTAGCAGTATGCTATGGTTTCCATACACTATAATGGTCAAATATTATTCCATGAGCAGCACAACAGTTTTTAATAACATTAATACTAATGCGCAGTTGGTCACATGTACACATATCATGGATTTTACTGCTTCAGTTTCGGTGCTATCACTACTGGGTTTTATATGGGGGTCCTACTGAAGGTCACATGGTCTTCTATGCTTTACATAACAGCTACAGGGTTTGTGTTTGAGGTGTTATGGCTCTGTGAAACTCCTACACTCCTGACTTTGGGTCCTGTGTGTTTTCGTGGCTTCCAGGTGCCAAAGAAATAAACCATAAAGAGCGGAGGAGAGAAAGTGGTTTCTGTGGGTGGGAACCAGTATGTGCTTGTAGCTGACCTTAGCTCTGTACACATGGAAGACTTCTCACAAACATTACAACAGACTGCTATCGCTACAAAAAAAGGAAGTAGCAGCATGTTGTGCGCTCAAGATTGAAAGTTCTGTGAGAAAATCTAACCTAATTTAGATTAGATGGGTTTTGCCCTTTACCTTAAACATCATCCATCAGCCAAGACATGTGTGGGGTCTGACGTTAGCTTTTCAGAGAGTACACTGTAAACAGAGCTGTGAAGCTAATGTAGCTAACAAGTAATGGAAGCTAATACACCAGAAATTATAGCTAGCATAAATTAGCGGCGAAGACCGTTCACCAAAGGAGAAAAACCCAACATCATTTAGTGAATTTTTCTGACTAAAGCTGCAGTCACACCCAACAAGAGTAAAATTTGCTTGGCAAACAAAAAAGCCATTCCCCTTTTAACAGGAA